CAACCTGTGTCATGCGATTAATATTCTTCTGAAAACGAAATGCACTGGGAAAATTCGGTTCCATCATGATTGAATTCGGCGTCTCCATAAACACTTCCGGTAGGACTTGAATAATCGCGTAACCATCTTTCGTCATGTGTTGTCCTGACTTTATTATAGCATCAGTTTCCTTAAAAAGACACGTGGCATTTTTGTATTTTACCAACATTGGTTCGCAGTATCGACCCAACGGTGAAATGAGGGTCTTCTTCAATAAATCTTGTATAACATTGTCCTGGTCAAGAGCTGAAGCAGCATCACGATCGTTGGCATACAAAATCGGCACGAGGTCCGATTTATTAACATCTTCCAAAGTTTTTAAGACCTTTTCGGTCTTTATGCTAATTTCGATGTCTGTTAGTAGTGAGTACAATTCGGAGGATACAATCATAAAGCCAAAGAAAGTAAATGGAAAGAACATTCGATCGGAATTTTTTCTTATTTGGAATTCAATCCCAAGTCCCAGGAGCATTTGAAATATATTGAAAAGCTTCCAAAATTCTCGATCGAGTCGCAGAAGCCGCACGGTGAAGCACAGGAAAATAATCAGACCTGTGGTTGATAATCCAATGACTAGAGACGTTGTCGACATTGATAGTAATTTATCACTGCTTCTTGTTACTGGTACGAGTAGCATTAATCTGTAATTTTCATTTTCGAAGGCAAACATATTAACGTATTCTTTGCAATTCGATGGAATTATCAAAGGATTTGTGAAGAAGTGAAATTGACCTTTATACAGTTTATTAAGCATTCCAGTTGATTTGTTCAATTGACATGAAGCGTTACCTATTGGTATTCCAGGATACGAAACTTCTAACACTTGAAAATTTTGCATTTCTTGTAGAACTCGACGGATGTTTAATTTTAGTCCGCTAACTGGTATTCTGTGACCAGTAAGATTTCGCTCAACGGTGACATAATGTTGACTCTCAAATGTAACAACTTTCATCTCATATCCCTTTAGATCATACAATTTGTTCGGGAAAATAACATCTCCTGATAAATAGGGTTTTTGGACATAACTTTTGTTGTACGGATTATAATGATGTAGCATTAAAAAACTATTTTGATGATTTTCGGAAAAATTTAGACCACCATTCGAGAAGTTTCGTGTGGAATTAACCATCAGTTCCAGAATAGTGAAATCTAGAATTTTTTCCGTCCAGGCAAAATGAAATAATTTCAGATGATCGAAGTTTCCTTGTAGTTGGATCATCAAGCATCGTGGATGCGTTGCGCCTCTGGATATTTGCAGTATATATTTTAAAGGTTCTTTTGGATCTGCTGTGGCGTCGGAAAGAATTATTAAAAACTGAGTAGTTAGTTGAATACTTCTAGAAGCAATAGATGTCCGAACATGTTCTACTTTCGCTTGGCGAATATTAATTATTTTCGATGGACCTTTTGTGATCATGGTTTGTAAAATTTCTTCCATATCATTAGTGATGTTCGTTTCATGATCGATCAGAATTATCGTTTGGAATGCATGAAAATCTTGTTTCAAGTACCGATGAAGATCTTGCATCCAGTTTGCTTCCTTTGTATTTTCTTTGCTAGTTGCTGTTAATGTTGACAAAACGCATAATATTTGTAAACAAAAGTAGTTGATTGACATGATTCTCATAGTATTGTACTTTTTAGTTAATGTACTTAATTTTTAGTTAATTTAGTTAGCTTTAAAAATCGTTGTTAGTATTATTTGTAAAAGCGGTAGATTTGGATTTCCACATTGGGTATTCTCTCAATTGTAAATGTATTTTTCCTGGTAAAAAAATTTCATGAGAAACGTTTTCCTATGAATTTGTTTGATCCTTTTACTGGTCACTATTCGTTTGTAGAAATAATAATGCTGCAGTGGATTTAAAATACTTATTACTTGTTTATTTGTTTTAAATATTTGCATATTGGAAAATGTTGAAGGTTACAGAATTTATGTTGTACTCGAAAATGCATGTATGCTGTCCTTCATGTTTGACTGTGGTATTTTCAAAAGTAGTGTTACATCTATACAAATGTTGTTAGATCGTGACTTTTGAGCAAGCTTATGAGTCAACCTCACGAACTCATACGTCACGAACTAACAATTTGATAGATCTGAAAAGGCCGAACGTGTATGGTTTACTCCAACAATAGATACGGCAACCAGATTCAAGTTTGAAAATTACATTCTTTTTGTTATTTCTAATTGGTAATGTATATTTCGCTTTTATCTGAGGTTTTAAGTAACGGTTTCGTCATTGATCCTTGTGGTAATTATTGGTTCTTTGCGGTGTCAAAATTAGTTTTCTTAGGAGACATCTTGTCAAGAGACAACTTCAAGACATCAGTTTATGAGTTTACCTTTAATTAAAGAATTATGATCGAGGGTTTATTTATAAATCCAATTATCAGTTCGCAAAGAAATGCAATTGCAGAAAGAGCAAGGCCAACTAAAATGATCCAGAGTAATACCAACAACAACGTACTTTGATCTTGCATAAGACTGATTTCCGAATTTCTAATCGGTACTTTAAGGAAAAAGTCTCTTATCCATTTTATACTGAGACCCGCCTGTGTAATGCGATAAATATTCCTCTCGAATCGAAAAGCACTGGGAAAATTTGGTTCCATCATGATTTAATTCGGCGTCTCCATAAATACCTCCGGTAAAACTTTAAATCTTGCATAACCCTCTTCTGTCATGAGTTGAGCCACCATTTCAATTGCATCAATTTCCTTAAAGATACACGTCACATTTCCAGGTTTAAGTAATTTAGCATCGCAATAATCAGAATTACCAGGTAAAATTTTCGCCTTTTTCAATAAATCCTTTATGACACTACCCTGATCCAGAGCCGAACCTGCATCCCTATCAGTTTCATAAACCACCGGTATGATCTGCGATTCATTTACCTCCATTAATGTTGTCATCAATTTCTCCGACTTCACTAGAATCTCAATTTCCGTGAGAAGTGAATATACTTCGGATGATACTATCATAAAACCAAATATGACAAATGGAACTAGAATTCGGTCGTAAATTTGTTTCACATCCCGTGGATTTGCGATTCCCAAGAGCATTTGAAAGATGTTGAAAACATGCCAAAATTCTCTGTCGAGCCCAAGAAGTTGGACGTAGAGGCGAATGAAAATTATCAGACATAAAATTGTTAATCCCATGGAAAGTGATGTTAAGGAGAATAATAGTAATTTATCACTGCTTCTTGTTACTGGTACGACTAGCATTAATTGGTAATTTTCATTTTCGAACGCAAACATATTGGCGTACTCATTACAACCTGTTGGAATTATCAAGGGATTGGTGAATAAGTGAAATTGACCATGGTAGAGTCTATTAATCATTCCAGTCGATTTATTCCTTTGACATGAAGCATTGCCTATTGCTTCTCCAGGATACCTTATTTCTTTAACTGTGAAATTTTGCAGTTCTTGTAAAACACGACGAATGTTTAGTTTGACACCGGAAATTGGAGTTTCATGCCCAGAACTGTTATCGATTGTCACCCAATAGGGACTGAAAAGTGTTATTGCCTTCATCTCATAACCCTTGAGATCTTTTAATTTATCAGGAAAAATTATTTCTCCTAAGGCAAATTGTTTTCTGGTGTAGCTGTCGTTAAACGGATTGAAATGATGTACCATCATGAAAGTATCCGAATGCTCGAGAAAATTTGAATATTCCCCTGTGGAATTAACAATCAGTTCCAGAATCGTGAGGTCTACAATTTTTTCCGACCAGGCAAAGTGAAATAATTTTTTGTACTGAATGTTTTCTTGTTGATGAATCAGCAAACAGCGAGGATGCGTTGCGCCTCTGGATATTTGCAGTAGATATTTTAAAGGTTCTTTTGGATCTGTTGCGGCGTCGGAAAGAATTATTAAAAACTGAGTAGTTAGTTGAATACTTCTAGAAGCAATAGATGTCCGAACATGTTCTACTTTCGTTTGGCGAATGTTAATTATTTTCGATGGACCTTTTGTGATCATGGTTTGTAAAATTTCTTCCATATCATTAGTGATGTTCGTTTCATGATCGATCAGAATTATCGTTTGGAATGCATGAAAATCTTGTTCCAAGTACTGATGAAGATCTTGCATCCAGTTTACTTTCCTGTTAGTTGCTTGCAACGCCCAAGCGGAAAGTAATAATTGTAGACAAAACATGTACCACATTATTTTAATTTTTATCTTTCTGAAAAATTCAGTATTAATATTCTTTATTAAATTAATATTATTTAATTTGTTTACCTTATAAATTCACGCTGTTACGCCTTAAGCAATGGCTCCACCCTAGTTATAGCTCTGTTTATTCGAATGAAAGTATTTAGTGTTCAACTTTTTCTATCGGTGGGTAAAGAAGGAAAAGTGTTTGAGAAGGAATTTTTTGTTTGGCTTCTTACTATTTATTCGAATCAATAATTATGTAAATTTGTAGTTTTTAAATTATAGTATCTGTACTTATAGAAACTGCAAGTTGTAAATAATATAAATAATTGTCTTCTTTTCAAAATAATAAATTCTTAGTAAAGTCGAATGTATATTGAAAAAATATAGTTTTTCTTTTTTTTTATTGATTTTGAAAGACAATTTTGCAACCGTTATTGTAAATAAGGCAAAAGATGGGCTTCCCCGCTTTTTGCTCTCGCGTCAGCCAATCGCATGCGACTCCCCACCCTGCCCTACGAAACTGGTATATAAACGCCAGGCTCCCAGCAACGAACGCCAGTCTCGTGTTCGCACTAGCAGAGTAGGAGCATGGAACTAATCAGTACTGCGGCCATATTGGTCAGAAAAAATGATTCAGGTCTGTGATTGGTTAACATTTAAATTAATAGCAAAATATAAATATAATTGTTTGACACATAACCTCTAAGTTATGAAAATAAATGAATAATTGTTAAAATCGTTAAAATAATGGGAAAAAGAATGAAAAAGGCATGTAATAAATAAGAACAACATTAATTGTAAAAACAGTTTATAAAAAACTATTCTTTAAAAATAAGAATTTTTCTTGACTTTTTTTTAACATTGTCAATTAAATTTACATAAATATAATTTTCTAAATTATTTCATACAATGAACTTTGTGTATTTGTGTCCAACTTTTATAAGTCGAAAAACAGGTTTATGTACATTAATGTTTCAAAATGTAAATTGAAAAAAAAAAAAACAAAATTGGACATAGATTGTCCTGTAAAATATCAGTCTTTTGTAATTCAACAGTACAATATGTACACTATTTTTTCAAATTACATAGTTTGTGAGAAATATACATATTTATAAAGATTGTAAAAAATAAAAGTAATAATCTTTCCTTGTTTTATTAAATTCTATTAGACGTTTTTCTCTGTTTAACAATAATTACTATATCAATGTCGCGTACCGTCTATCAGTGTAACTGTACAAAACAATTGCGGGACGATTCTTTTCATTTCGGACCTCCCGTATTTCCTCGCAGATTTGCTTCAAGTATTCCTTTTGGCGAGGAAATCTGAAATAACAAAATTAATAATTACTGTTTTTATTCGCAAAAATTTTAATATAATTCTTCGCAAGAATTCAATTATTTTTATAAATAGTAAAATTTTTTGCAAAAATTCAATTATAATTCTTTTTTTCTTAATTCATTATAAAATTTTTCAAAAGAATTCAATTATTTTTATAAATAGAAAAATTCTTTGCAGAAATTCAATTATTTTCCAAACAATTTTGAATATAATTTCCTCGAAAGAATTTAATTATTGTCAAATATTTACATAAAATTCATTTATTTTCTAAAATTTTAATAAATTCTTCGGAAGAATTCAATTATTTTTATAAATAGTAAAATTCTTCGAAAGAATTCAATAATTTTTATAAATAGTAAAATTTTTTGCAAAAATTCAATTATAATTCTTTTTTTTAATTCATTATAAAATTTTTCAAAAGAATTCAATTATTTTTATAAATAGAAAAATTCTTTGCAGAAAATCAATTATTTTCAAAACAATTTTAATAGAATTTTCTCGGAAGAATTTAATTATTGTCAAATATTTACATAAAATTCTATTCTTTCCTAAAATTTTAATAAATTCTTCGGAAGAATTCAATTATTTTTATAAATAGTAAAATTCTTTACAAGGATTAAATTATTATTTTTCATAAATAATACAATTCTGCTCAGGAATTCAATTATTTTCAATACAATATTAATAAAATTCTTCTTCATAAATTCATCAAAATTTTCAATTAAAATTATTAAAGAAACTCCATTATTTTTTTAAAAATGCAAATAAATTCTTCAAAAGTATTTAATTAGGATTTTAAATAATTTTAATAGAATTCTTCGCGAGAATTCAATTATTTTCATAAATACAAAAATGTTTCGAAGGAATTCAATTATTTTCAATACAAGTGTAATAAAATTTCTAGGAAAAAATTCAATTATATATTCAAGATAATTTTAGTAACATTTTTCTAACAGGTTCAATTATTTTTAAAAATTGTAATAAAATTTTACTAAACAATTCAATTGTTCTTAAATAAAACAGAAGAAAAAATGTTGAATTTTAAGAAATTCAGTTTTTTGAATTTTTTGATAATTTTAGATTTTTTACCAAAGAGTGAAGACTTTTAAATAAGTAAAGTATTTTTCAAGAGCACAAAAATAGTGAAGCTAAATGCAATCTAAAAGAAGAAAAAATGTTGAATTTTAAGAAATTCAGTTTTTTTAATTTTTTTGATTTTTTGATAATTTTTGATTTTTTATCAAAGAGCGGTGAATTTTAAATAAGTAAAGTATTTTTCAAGAGCACAAAAATAGTGAAGCTAAATGCAATCTAAAAGAAGAAAAAATGTTGAATTTTAAGAAATTCAGTTTTTTGAATTTTTTGATAATTTTAGATTTTTTACCAAAGAGTGGAGACTTTTAAATAAGTAAAGTATTTTTCAAGAGCACAAAAATAGTGAAGCTAAATGCGATCTAAAAGAAGAAAAAATGTTGAATTTTAAGAAATTCGGATTTTCGAAGTTTTGATAATTTTTAATAATTTTTGATTTTTTACCAAAGATTGGAGACTTTTAAATAAGTAAAGTATTTTTCAAGAGGACAAAAATAGTGAAGCTAAATGCGATCTAAAAGAAGAAAAAATGTTGAATTTTAAGAAATTCGGATTTTTTAATTTTTTTGATTTTTTGATAATTTTTGATTTTTTATCAAAGAGCGGAGACTTTTAAATAAGTAAAGTATTTTTCAAGAGCACAAAAATAGTGAAGCTAAATGCAATCTAAAAGAAGAAAAAATGTTGAATTTTAAGAAATTCGGATTTTTGAATTTTTGATAATTTTTAATGATTTTTGATTTTTTATCAAAGAGTGGAGACTTTTAAATAAGTAAAGTATTTTTCAAGAGCACAAAAATAGTGAAGCTAAATGCAATCTAAAAGAATAAAAAATGTTGAATTTTAGGAAATTCAGTTTTTTGAATTTTTTGATTTTTTGATAATTTTAGATTTTTTACCAAAGATTGAAGACTATTAAATAAGTAAAGTATTTTTCAAGAGCACAAAAATAGTGAAGCTAAATGCAATCTAAAAGAAGAAAAAATGTTGAATTTTAAGAAATTCGGATTTTCGAATTTTTGATAATTTTTAATGATTTTTGATTTTTTATCAAAGAGTGGAGACTTTTAAATAAGTAAAGTATTTTTCAAGAGCACAAAAATAGTGAAGCTAAATGCAATCTAAAAGAATAAAAAATGTTGAATTTTAGGAAATTCAGTTTTTTAAATTTTTTTGATTTTTTGATAATTTTAGATTTTTTACCAAAGATTGAAGACTATTAAATAAGTAAAGTATTTTTCAAGAGCACAAAAATAGTGAAGCTAAATGCAATCTAAAAGAAGAAAAAATGTTGAATTTTAAGAAATTCAGTTTTTTGAATTTTTTTGATTTTTTAATAATTTTTGATTTTTTATCAAAGAGTGGAGACTTTTAAATAAGTAAAGTATTTTTCAAGAGCACAAAAATAGTGAAGCTAAATGCAATCTAAAAGAAGAAAAAATGTTGAATTTTAAGAAATTCAGTTTTTTTTAATTTTTTTGATTTTTTGATCATTTTTGATTTTTTACCAAAGATTGAAGACTATTAAATAAGTAAAGTATTTTTGAAGAGCACAAAAATAGTGAAGCTAAATGCGATCTAAAAGAAGAAAAAATGTTGAATTTTAAGAAATTCGGATTTTTGAATTTTTTTGATTTTTTGATAATTTTAGATTTTTTACCAAAGATTGAAGACTATTAAATAAGTAAAGTATTTTTCAAGAGCACAAAAATAGTGAAGCTAAATGCAATCTAAAAGAAGAAAAAATGTTGAATTTTAAGAAATTCAGTGTTTTGAATTTTTTTGATTTTTTAATAATTTTTGATTTTTTACCAAAGATTGGAGACTTTTAAATAAGTAAAGTATTTTTCAAGAGCACAAAAATAGTGAAGCTAAATGCAATCTAAAAGAAGAAAAAATGTTGAATTTTAAGAAATTCAGTTTTTTGAATTTTTTGATAATTTTAGATTTTTTACCAAAGAGTGGAGACTTTTAAATAAGTAAAGTATTTTTCAAGAGCACAAAAATAGTGAAGCTAAATGCGATCTAAAAGAAGAAAAAATGTTGAATTTTAAGAAATTCAGTTTTTTTAATTTTTTTGATTTTTTGATAATTTTTGATTTTTTACCAAAGATTGAAGACTATTAAATAAGTAAAGTATTTTTGAAGAGCACAAAAATAGTGAAGCTAAATGCGATCTAAAAGAAGAAAAAATGTTGAATTTTAAGAAATTCGGATTTTCGAATTTTTGATAATTTTTAATAATTTTTAATAATTTTTGATTATGTACCAAAGATTGGAGACTTTTAAATAAGTAAAGTATTTTTCAAGAGCACAAAAATAGTGAAGCTGAATGCAATCTAAAAGAAGAAAAAATGTTGAATTTTAAGAAATTCAGTTTTTTGAATTTTTTTGATTTTTTGATAATTTTAGATTTTTTACCAAAGATTGAAGACTATTAAATAAGTAAAGTATTTTTGAAGAGCACAAAAATAGTGAAGCTAAATGCGATCTAAAAGAAGAAAAAATGTTGAATTTTAAGAAATTCGGATTTTCGAATTTTTGATGAATTTTTATTATTTGAATTGTTGCTTTTTCGTGGAAATGCCCTATTTTAAATTTTTTTTATAAATACTTTGCAAGAATTCAATGATTTTCATGACATTAATTTTAAAATTGAGAATATCTAAAAAGAAAAATTATTATAAAAGTTGGGAAAAAAAAGCAAACAGCAACTAACTTCAAACTGCGAACCGATTTTACCGGAAGACAACGATTATTAATATAAAATTGTATTTTTATTTTTTATTGTACTTTTGAATACTTACAAGTCTATCACGGTTTGAATACTTTTGTTGTAGAGATTCTCGTCTTCGTCTATTTCCACGTAACTTGTGATTGAGCGAACTATAGACATTTCGAGAGAGACGACAAACACTTGAACAGTTATCTGGAAATGTAAAAATATTAATTGAAAAACATTAATTAAAAAATATCGAATTGAAAATAAAAAAAAATAATTAGCTTACTTTTGGTATCCTTTGCAAAAGCGGTGACATTTGCGTGAGAATATAATTCTTGCAACTTCTTTTTGCAATTCCGGATAATAATTTGTCCTTTTCGTGAAACAAAAAATTAATGTTAACATTCGGCGAAACGTAATTGGAGACTTCATTGTTTGTATTTGTTTTACTATCGGAACGATTTAGCGATGGTGAGGAGATTTCCATTTGTTTTTGAAGATAATCGGTGAGTTCGTTGATATTAATTTTCCTCTCGAGAAAACGATCCTTCTCCCATGTGTGAACCATTAGAATTCCCTTCTCGCCGCTTTTTAGCATAATCACATGATCGATCGTGTACTCGAGACAATAGTCGAATACCTCCTCGACACTGGTGAAATTCTGCGAATTTACACGATAATCCAATGACCATAATTCCCTGAGTACTTCGGCTTGTTCTCGTCGTCTTATCGGTTCACCGCCAACGCAACACACGACAATATCGTTGGCGGATTTACTCTCGTTACGTGTCTCTTGATTTTGCGATAATTCATCGACAATGGAAATTAATTTGTCGAGGGATATACTTATACCGACGCCAAATTGTTGTAAATCGTCGCCACCTCGCGATGTACTTTGTAAAACTTGATGGAAAGTTGATAGTAATTTGTCATATCGTCCGCCAGCGGCGATTACATCCTGACCGCATTTACGTCTATGACGCTTTGATTCGCGCGATATTATTTGATAGATTATTCCACTGTGCTGTTCAATGTTGTGCACCAGGAGAGGAACGACTGTGATTGGCCACTGGAAATTTAGAAAATAGTTTTATTATTATTTATTTTTTTATCTGAACCAAAAAAATACAGTCAAAGGTAAACCATTATAGGCACTATAAATTAAATCACAAGAATTCATTTATTTTCAAAAATGTTAACAAAAATTTAATAAAAGATGTTAAAAGTGTTGATCAGTCAGTTAAAAAAAATTGTTGTCAAGAATCAAGATTTCAATTGTCTTTATAAACAATAAACTTCTTCGCCAAAATTCCAATTATTTTCCAAACATTTTAAGAAAATTTCTATAAAAATTCAATGACTTTTATAAATAGCAATATTTTTCGGCTAAATTCAATTATTTCTAAAAATTTTCATAAAATTCTATACAAAATTCAAAAATTTTTTTAAATTTTCGTCAAGATTTCAATTATCTTTTATGTTAATTGTAAAATTCTCTTACAAAATTCAATCATTTTCAAAAAATTTTAATAATCTTATTAAAATTTCAATTATTAAAAATTTTTAATACATAAAAAAATCCATCAGAAAAATTCATTTATTTTCAAAAAATTTTAATAGAATTCCTGTCAAAATTTCAATTTTCAAAATTTTTTCTCAATTTAACAACGTTCAATAATCAATATCTACTATTTTAATAAAATTTCCCAAAAGAATTCAATAATTTAGAAAATATTTTGATAGAATTCTACGAAAAATTTTCAATTATTGTCATAAACAATAAAAATTTACCAGAAATTCAATTATTTCAATAGGTAATAAAATTCTTTTTTTGAATTCAAATATTTTCAGAAAAATTTTCCTTAATTCAATGATTTTCAATATCTAGAATTTTAATAAAATATTTCAAAAGAATTCAATTATTTAAAAAAAAAATTAAATTAAACAAATAATGTTTTTCTTAAATTCGAAAAGACGTACCTTTACCCCGAGGGTTTCGACATTTTCAATAACGGTTTCAATTTCACCGAGTCCCTCTCGTGCCAAATTAGCCGCGTCGCCCTTCCGCCTTGTGATATTTTTCAAAATCCCAGCAATCTTATCCACCGTACTCTCCGTCTCGAAAATTTGAAACAAAGTCTCCATCGCCTGATCAGTGAGGCACAAACTGATGAAATGTGTCTTCACTTGAAACCTGGAAATTTTTCCAGTTCGCGCATCGCCGAGGATCGTGTAAATATCTTGATACTTCTCCTCCTCGATGCCGCAGTACATTAAAACCGCTTGCAATAATGAAGTATGATTGAGGCGAACGGTGAAATTTTTGTCATTTAATTCGAGAATTTCCGCTGTTATTTCCCAAACAATTGATATCATTTCGGCCTCCTCCATCAGATTATTTGCTATTGGACTAATAACATCGAATGCACATTCGTAAAGTTCGCGAGGATGTAGACCGTGAATCTGAAAATTAGGAAAGAAATTTAGTCGACAATTTCTTTGCGGAAAGAAATTTTTCCCCTTTTTTCATACCTTCGTTTCACGAAAAACTCGTTCAATCGCGAACCTTTTTAATCGATGGACATTATTTTTCACCACGTATCTTGCAAATGGAACACGAATATCGTAAGGCAGGGAAACGATATTTCCGCTTTTTGTCGCAACCTTAACGCAAGATTCAGTGTAGCTTTGGGTGCAGGCGGAATTTGGCATTAGAAATGGTGACGCTAAACAGATTCCTCCGTGTTTTGTGAAAATTTTCAGCACCTTTGATTTGACGTTCTCTTGAATTAATTGAATTCGTGGTACGAGGGAATTGACAATTGCTTTTGATGTTAAATTCATGTCGAATGTAATGTCCTCGGCGGGTGTGTATTGCGAGAACCAACATGAGACAATGTCCTTGTAGGTTTTACTTTGTTTATTGGAAATTGCGTGCTTTAACATCTCTTGAAGTTCGGCTTGTTCAAATTGCGGTGGTGGCAGATAATCCGAGGCAAGAAGTTCCTGTGATGACGGTCTTTGCGTTGAATCGTGATTTAGTAACCATCTGAAAAATGGGAAATTATTTCATTAGAAAAAAATTGAAAATTACAGGCTTCACGCTCAATAATTAACTTTAAAAAATGTATCAAAAAGTAGTTTTAATACTGAAAAAAGTAGTTTAAAAAAGTAGCAATTAAAAATTAATTTTAACGAATAAAAAAAAAATTGTTTTAGTTTTAGTCGATTCACAAAAATTTGAATCAGTATTTCCCTGACTGTTTCCTGATTTCAATGAAAAATAAATTTATTTTTATTCTAATCCTCCTGAGAACTTTAATTCTAAATTTTTGAAAAATTCAATTATTTTCTAAATGTTTATCCTAAAAAAAATACAATTGTATTTAAAAATAATAATTTTTCAAAGTAAACAAATAAAATTATTTAATAAAATTTAATTTAAATTGTTCACAGGAATTAGAAAAAAGAATTAATAATTTTTCACGGTAAAAATTTAAATGTAATTAAAATTTAAAAAAAGCAGGTATTCAATTATTACCTAAAATTTTGAATGAAATTCATTTTTAATTTTTAAATCAACTTTTATTATAAAATTCTACGAGTATTCTATTATTTTAAATACAAAAATAAATAATTTATGGAATAATTGACAGTTTTTGAAAATTGAATTCTTTCGACGAATTTTAGTAAAAATTTTAAGAATAATTACATTTTTCGAAGAATTCAATTAAAATTTTGACAAGAATTTTAATAAACTGCTTGAAAATAATTAAATTCTTGTAATAAATATTCTTATTTTTAAAAATAATTGAATTTTGCAAAGAATTTTATTAAAATTCCTAAAAATAATTGAATTTCTGGAAAGAATTTTGATATTTATCAAGATAATTAAAAATTCAACTAATTTCAACAGAATTGAAATTAAAATTCTCCAAAAAAAAATTAGTTCTATAGAATTATTAATTCATTTATGAAAAATAAATTTTATTATTTATTAAAATAATTGAATTCTCTTGAAAAAATTTATTACCTGGGAAAATAATTGAATAATTGTGAAGAATTAAGGAAAGAATTTTTAATTTTTAAAAAAAATAATTGAATTTCTGAGATGAATTTTATTATTTATAAAAATAATTGTATAATTGTTAAGAATTAAGGATAGAATTTATCAATTTTTCAAAAAAATAATTGCATTTCTGAGAATAATTTTATTTATGAAAATAATTGAATTCCTGCGAAGAATTTTATTTAATTTTTTTTAAATAATTGAATTCTCGTGGAAATTTTTATTATTTAGAAAAATAATTGAATTCTTGAGAAGCATTTTATTATTTATGCGAAAATAATTATATTTTTGCCTGGTAATTTTATTAAAAATTTTATAAATAATTGAATTTTCGTGAAAAATGTTATTGCCTGGGAAAATAATTGAATTCTTGCGGTAGAATTTTATAAAAAAGTTTGTAAATTGATTTTTTTCGAAAAAAATTATGAAATATTTTTAATAATTTAATTCCTGGGAAAATTGTATTACCTACTTATAAAAAAATTGAATGTTTACGAAAAATTTTATCAAAATTCTTTTGTGGAATTTTATTAAAATTGTATAGATGTATTGAAAATCATTGATTTTCGAAAAGTTTTAATGAATAATTGAATCGTTTTAAAGAATTTTATTACAATTTTTAGAATTTTTTTTTATTTCAACTATTAGCGAATTTAAAGTGATGCAAATTTTCCCTAAAAATAAAGAAAAAAGTAGCTTTTAATGTCATAAATCTAAAAAAGTATCCAAACCTTAAGAGATGAATTTGGTTTTCCATATCGACTTCGTTCATGTCATCGGGAAAAATAATTTCCTGCGAGCGAAGATTCAATAAAACTTTGGCTCGTTCCATTCCAGTTGCCAGGGGTTTGTAACACATTTCAAAAAAAATTATCCCCAAACTGTAGATGTCGACTTTTTTATTATAAAATGCTTTCGATGCTTTTGTACTTAATTCCGGTGCCGCATACAAAGCCGTTCCCACTTGTCCTGTTAATGAACCCAATTCATCCAAATCGCCATTGATACCTAGAAATCGTGGAAAAAATTTGATAAGTCTCAAAGAAAAAAGAGAAAAATTGTAAAATTATTTTTTATGAAAAACATTATTTTCTCGAGAAAAATTATTTCTTTTTGGAAAACATTATTTTCTCAAGAAAAATTATTTCTTTTTGGAAAACATTATTTACTTTAAGAAAACTTATCTCTTACGGAAAAAAGAATTGAATTCAATTCTTTTTTCTGTAAGAGATAATTCTTTTCTTTTTTTTTTTCTTAAAAAATAATTTTCTAAAACTAAATAAAGTAAAAAAGGCAATTTTTAAAATTTTGTATTTTTTATCATCGTACCTTTGTCGATAATTTGTGTATCGCGATCAGTATTGTCGACAGTTTGCACGAGTGTCGAGAGAATATTTGTAGTTGCAAGGCCAAAATCGCCAATTTTCACATGATCCTTACTGTCAAGAAAAATATTGACTGGCTTTAAATCTCTGTGTATCATTCCCTGTCGATGTATGTGGGCGAGACCTTCAGCAATTTCGCGAAATAATCGCCAAACACGACTCTCGTCTTCATGTAAGCCATTATCAATCGCCGTTCTTAGTGTTGATTTTTCACAAAATTCCATTTGTATATACATATATTGAATTTCTTTTAAATTCGAAATATCCTCATTTTGTTGTTGTTCGTTCTTTATTTCCGGCTCTTTAATGTTTGACGACGAAATTGAATCAATTTCGTCGGCTGTTCCAACTTTCTCAAATTCAATGCCATCTGATGAATTTTCAACGCTTCCAACTCCCATTCTGTTTTTTGAAAGAAAAAAAATATATTTTCGTATTAAGAAGCAATTTTAAAGTTTAAATTTATAAAAAAAATTGTTATTAATTTATTTTTAAAATTTTCATAAATAAATTAACTTCAAAGTTCAAACGGTTTCAATTGGAAATTTTATGAAATTTCAATTTTGAATGAATGAGTTTATGAACAATATTGTTATTATTTAGGTAGTTAAAGTATTTCTTTCCTTTTTTTTCAAAAAGAGTCGAAAAAAGTTGTAGGCCTCGTGAAATACTTACATGAAAGCCCAGTCTTCATCGCTGTCACTAGAATCATCATCTTCTGAATCGTCTTCTTCACTGTCGGCTGTTAAACCAACACTCGCTCTTGATTCATATGAAACATTCCACTCGACATCGTGAATTGGCGGTGCTAATTTCTCAATTTCCGCAACTCCTAATTGCTGCAATTTTTTATCATCAATCACATTTGAATTTACATTTAAAGGCCCTTAAATTTATTTTAAATAATTAAAAAGAATTTCGTTCTTAATTTAATAGTTTATTAGACTTACGTCGACGATATCGGCGTTTTCCTCCTCGCTGTGCATATTCGATGGTGTATCCTGAGGAGTTGAATCCGAGCACAATGCACGATCTTCGAGTGTCGCACTCTCTATCCATGAATTATAATAACGTACAACATTCTCGTGATGTAATCGTGAGAGTAATTTAACTTCACGCGTAATTTTTCTATTCAATTGCTTATTCTTGGGATTCAATTTAATTCGTTTTATCGCATAAATACAACCGTCGAGTTTATTTTTCACTTTGAGCACATCGCCAAATGCTCCCTTACCCAACCATTTTAATATTGCAAATTCATTTTGAATACGTGAATGTGTGCCAAATGTCGATGGATATAAATTGACGGCCGTCAAAGGCTCCTCTGAATCGGAATCGTCATCGTCGTTGTCACGATTTTTCCCCGGCGACGATAAACCTCGCTCCAATGGCGAACGAATGAAATTATGCTCCAGTAATTGATCCGTCGACCAACGACTTCGTTCGTCCTTCATCAGACATTTCGATAGAAAGTCCTTTAAATTGGCCTGCAAAAATATTTTATTTCTTTTTCTTACTTTAATTAATTTGTTAATTATTAAATTAATTATTTATTTATTAAAATTATTTCTAAAATTTTGTTTTATATTTTTCAAAATATTTTTTTTTATATTTTCAAAATTTTGTTTTTCTTTTGGTTTATTTTTCTGAGATTTCTTTCTTTTTGCTTGTAAAGAAAAATTAATTATTACCTGTAATACTGACTCCAGTTCCAATTCCTTTTCCGAAACGATGTAGCCTTTAATTAATGAGAATATCAAAATGCCAAAACGGTAAATATCTAATTTTTTTCCACTCCTTCCTTGAATGATGGGAAAATCATTTTCTGCTTTCGATAAACGACTCGCTTGATAAACATCCGAGAGCCTTTTATCGAGGGAATAGTCCGATAGTTTGATAACTCCGGAACGATCTATGTGGACACTTGTGTCGCGAATATCCTTGTGAACGACATTATTTTCGTGTAAATAATGAAGTGCCGAAAGAATGCCGGTCGCTAAATGACGAAGCATGTCGATACCGACTGGAGTGTTGTCTGTAAAAAAATATGAACATGTCGTTCCAACCTGAAACGAAAGAAAAATTCTTAGGTACAATATTGAATTTAAACCGAAAAAGAAACTGAAAATAATATTTACAATCAAAAAGAAAAAGTAACTGAAAATATTTTCGATTAAAAAAAGAAATTGGAAATATATATAATTAAAAACAAAGACTTGGAAATATTTACAATCGAAAAGAAAAAGGAACTGAAAATATTTTCAATTAAAAAAAGAAATTGAAAGTATTTCTAATTAAAAAGAAAACAAAAATATTTACAATTAATAAATAGAAATTTAAAAAGTTTGTAACTAAAAAAATGAAATTAAAAATATTTACAAATAAAGAATTATTATTAAAAAAATTATTAATTAGATTATTTCTCTTTAAAAATTCTTAAAGTTTTGAATAATTTTATTCGTAAATTCCAAGAAAATAATTGAATATTGGAAGAATTACAGTTGTAATTTTTGGGAATAATTTAATTTCAAAAGGTTTTCAATTGAAATTATTTGAAATTTTAATTCCTGTTGAAAAGTAAATAAGAATAAGTTTTTGAATAATTTAATTTAGAAATTTCAAAAAAAATTTATTTCTTGAAAAAAAGTCATTAAATTTTTTTAAAAATAATTGTATTTACAAAAATAATTTTAAAAAATTAAAACTTGAAAATTTTGTCAAATTTCTTTGAAATGAATTTTATTTCTTTACTTTTAAAAATTATTTTGAAACGTAATCGTATTTTTGAAGAATTCTAATTGAAAATTTGAAAAATATCTTGGCGAGTGGAAATTTTTTGGAAAATATCTTTTCCTACACGAGTTGTTTAAATAATTCTTAACTTTCTTTTAAATTTAAAGAAAGACTGTTAGAAAAATAATATTTTAATATTTTAAAAATTTCTAGAGTTGAAAAGAAAAAGAAATTGGAAATATTTCCACAGTTAGAAAGAAATAATTGAAAATGTTCGTAATACTCACGACAAACTCCTGTAAAATATAAATAACAATAGAATCGTCGTCCTGCATTGTTTTCATATTAAGATAATGTACAAGATTTGTGTGATGCAATTTACAAAGATGATTTAATTCCTGTTCAATTGTGGCAATTTGCTTTAGACCCTGTTGTAAATCGTTTGATAATTCAAAATTATTTCCACTATCGTCGGCATCATTTTTTCTTCTCGCGTATTTTAATGTCCATTCGGTGATGGCCAGTAATTCACCGGTGGTCATGTCGAGACCGGCAAATACAACAGAGCCCTTTGTACTGTGTCCGAGACATTTGCCACGATGTACTTGTCTTTCGTTTTTATTATTATCGAAATGCAAGAGTTTTGTGCCACGATGCTCGCAACCAATTTCTGATGATTCCGATGTACTCATACAACGACGTCGTGAATATGTTCGAACACGTTCACGCGGCGACGATGGTATCGATCGTGATAATTCATTATCGAGCGACATTCGCGCTGATTCACGACGATTTCTTAATTCTGCCCTCACGGCTTCTTGGCGCTTTTGTATTGCCTCTTGTAAAACCTGGGGGAGAAAAAAGAAGAAGCAATTTATTAATAATAATTTTTTGAATGTTTTTAATTGAATTATTTCAAAATAAATTCAATTATTTATCAAGAATTTTTTTTTTTTTTGGGATCCGGACAAGAAGTCCAAACCAGAAATTAAAAAATTAAAAAGTCCAAAATCCAAAGTAAATGAAATCCAAAAAAGTAAAAAAATAGTTTCGCTTTGGACTTATTTTTTGTCTTGATCAAAAAGTCCAAAGAAATGAAAAATCGAATGAAATAAATTAAGATAAAAAAAATTTAAATCGTTGCTTTGAATGAAATTAAATATAATGTAGAAAAACTTTTAATTACTTGACGTTCTTTGTCCTCTTTCAATTTTTTCTCCTCCATTTCGTATTTAATTTTCTCCTGTTTCGTTAACATCATTTCCTCATAGAAACTTCGTGTTCCCGGTTTATTGTGTTCGCAAAGAAATTTTCTCACGTGCTGCGTCAATTCAAATATCATAACTTCACCGCAAATTTTTCCTGCTAATGCCTCAACTTCAGATATGAGCATTCCAATTTGACTGTCCGAAAGTCCTTGACTTCGTTGTACTTGAATTTGCGGCACTCTGAGAAAAAAAAATGTTCTTTTTAGTTTTAAACAAAAATGTTAATTTAAATTGGATTGATTTTCTATACTTTTTGAAAAATTTATATATTTTTTGAGAATTTTCAATTATCAGGATTGGCAAAAAAAATGTAATTTTGTTTTTTCCCAACTTTTCCCTAATTTCCAGGGAAAATTTTGAAACGAGTTTTATTATTCATGAAAATAACGGAATTCATAAAAAGAATTTTATTATTTATCAAAATAATTGAATCTTTGTATAGAATTATAATATTTATAAAAATTATTGCGAAGAATTCTATAAAAGAATTCTAAATAATTGATTGTCTTCGAAAAAATATATGCAAAATGTTTTTAAAATAATTTAATTACTGTGAAATTTTTATTATTCATGACAATAATTGAATTTATTTTCTATTTATCAAGATAATTAAAAATACGACTAATTTCAACAAAATTGACATTAAAATTTTCCAAAACAATTAGTTCTATAGAATTATTAATTCAAATTGTGAGAAATTTATAATTTTCAAAGATTTAAATTTGAAACCTTTCAATGAAAATATGAAATTATTGCGAAGAATTATATAAAAATTTTTTAAATAATTGATTGTTTTCAAAAAAATGTATTCAAAATGTTTTTTAAATAATTGAATTACTATGAAATTTTTATAATTTATGACAATAATTGAATATTTTTTGTAGGATTTTATCAAATTTTTTTTTAAATAACAGAATTCTTTTGGGAAATTTTCTTAAAATAGTAGATATTGAAAATTATTGTATTCAAAAAAAAATTTTGAAAATAATTGAAATTTTGAAAAGAATTTTAATAAACTTGTAATAAATATTGTTATTCATGAAAATGATTGAATTTTGCAAAGGATTTTATTAAAATTCCTAAAAATAATTGAATTTCTGTGAAGAATTTTAACATTTATCAAGATAATTAAAAATTCAACTATGTAATTTCAACAGAATTGAAATTAAAATTTACAAAAAAAAAAAGTTCTATAGAATTATTAATTCAAATTGTGAGAAATTAATAATTTCCAAAGATTTGAATTTGAAACCTTTTCGAAATTGAATTATTTCTAAAAATTCAAGTTATAATGCTTTTTATATTCAATTATTATCTAAAATTTTAACTGAAATTTATTTTTGATTCAATTTTTATTAGACAATTCTACGAGAATGCAATTTTTTTAAATATAAAAAGCAAATAATTGAATATTTCTCAAAATTGAATTCTCATAAAGAATTTTATTAAGAAATTTTTTAATAATTGAATTCTTTCGACGAATTCTATCAAAAAAAAATTTTAAGAATAATTACATTTCTTCATGAATTCAATTAAAATTGTATTAAAAAGAATTGAAATTATGCGATGAATTTTATTAAAATTTTTTTTAAATAGGTAATTGAATTCTTTTGGGAAATTTTAATAAAATTTCAAATATTGAAAATCATTGAAAAGAATTGAATTTTGGAAAAGAATTTTGCTATTTATGAAAAGTAATTGAAATCTTAACGAGAATTCTTTTTAACATTTTTTAAAATAAATGAATTATTGTGATGAATTTTGTTATGTATTAAAATAATTGAATTTTTCAAAGAATTCCTGTGAAAATTTTATTATTTTTAAAAATAATGAAATGTTTGCGTAGATTTTTATTAAATAATTGAATATTTTTGGAAATTTATATTAAAATAGTAGATGTATTGAGAACCATTGAATTGGGTAAAATTTTTGAAAATAATTGAATTTTGGCGAAGAATTTTATTATTTATAAACATAGTTGAAATTTTGACGAGAATTTTTGAAAATTTGTGAACAAATTGAATTTTTACGATGAGTTTTATTACTTTTAAAAATAATTGAATTGTTACTTCTCCAAAATTTAATTTTATTAGTCTTTTTAAATAAAATTTTTCTATAAATCCATTATTTTTAATAATTAATTAAACATATATTAAAAATTTTTTAAATTTAAGAAAAATTTGAATTATTAAAATTTTTCAAAAATCTAAGTTCTTTAAAATTTCTAATTAAACTCATTCATTAAAATTCAATTAATTTAGAAATATTTAAGTAAAATTATTCATTAAATAATTTATATGTAACAATTTTATGATAGTTCCTTAAGAATTAAGTTATTTAAAGTGAAACTATTGTCAGAAATAGAAAAAATTGAAGGTTTTGTATTAGAATTCGTGGTAATTTTATAATTTATGAGAAAATAAAAAAAGACAACAAAATTCAGAATTTTCTTATGAATTCTAAAAATTTAATTTTTTTCAGTACTTTTAATAAAAATACCTAACATTTCCCTAAATTTCCTGATCAGGAAATAAATAATAAATAAAACTTGATTATATAGAAAAAACAAATTATGTATAAAATTTCAAATAATTTCAAAAATATGTATTTTCGGAAAAAATATATATTTTTAAAATTCAAAAATACTTGTCAGGATATTGTTCGCCGCAGGTGATTCTTAAATCGAGTTGTGCGTGAATTTCAGCAGGTCCTGACATTCCTTCTTGGGGTGTTAATGTTACCAAAATATCCAGTGGTTGCCATTTTCTTTTGTGTTTATTTTTTCGCAAATCCTGTAGTTCATCGCCATAAATCGACTGTAATTAAAATTTTAATTAATTTCCCAATTTTTTCATTTTGTTTACGAATATTTTCCATTTAAAAAGAAAAAATTTCTCAAAAATATCACTAATTTTAAACTCTTTTTTTCTATATATAAGCAGATAAAACAAAAATGATTTTTTTTCTACAAAAATAAAAAATATTTTAAAGTAATTGAAAGTAGTTTAAATTTATTTCATTTATTTTCTTAAAAAATTTGTTAAACAAAAGATAAAGAAAATTTACATTTGAAAATAAAAGAACATTGGTATTCTATTGTTAACATTAACAATTAAACTGACAAACATTAAGAAAACAAAAAAAAAATGCATAGAAAACATAAATAAATATATACCTTAAGTGCTGCAAGTTCATATCTTTGTCGTTCAATAAATGATTCTGAGCCCTCCGCCTCAGACATTTTTTAGATAAAAAAAATATCGAATATAAATTTTTCAAATTGTGACTAAAATTTATCATTTATTTATCACTTATTATTTATATTTATTTTTAATAGTAGATTTAGAAACTTTCTCGTTTGAGGTTATGTGTTCAATTATAATAATTATCACTTCACTCACTGTTATTTATTTAACTACAAAAACATATCTAAAGTGTGTGAAAGTTAAAAAAAATTGTCTACAAGTAACGACAATACTTGTCAAAATTTACAAATTACTTTTTACAATAAAAAATATTTGTTATAATATTTGAAAGGAAAACAAAAATACAACACACAACGTTCTTTTTTGTTTGAAAAATGAAAACTCGAGTTGTTGCGACAAACACCGAAAGAGTGCGTTCACCTGTCATATTCCGACCAATCGGAATTGTTGATTTTTAGGCGGTAAATTCGAAATTCTTTTGCAATAAAATCAAATAGATTTTAATTAATTATAATAATAATTTACTGAATGGTAATACAGTTCTATAAGTTCTAGTTAAAAATAGATATTTTCTGGACTTGAGAATATTTTTCTAATTACAAAAACACAAACTACTTACTTACGTACTTTTTTTTCTTTGAAAGTAATTATGCTTTGAAAATTACTTTCAAATTGCTTTGAATTTCTTTCAATTTGCTTTGAACGAGAAAGAAATTTTGAATTTTCGCGCCAGGAAATATTCCAATTCGAGATAGAAGTCGTGGCGAGGGGTGGGGGAAATGGAGAAAGTGAGTTGGCAAGCCTGACGCCGCTGATGTCGGCGGCCATGTTTTTAATGACGTCGAGAGAGGGCTGGGTGTAGCTTTAACGTTGAAAATCGTCCCGTGTGTGTTTCTCTTATTCTCTCTTTTGGAAAAAAAAACGCGTGCGAAAAAGGTGTAAAAAATTTGTGAATTTATTTCTCAAATGCTGTGGCCATTATTCGTTTATTAAATGCGTGCACAAGCAATTAATAGTGTTCGTGATTGTGATTTAATTTTAAAGAAATAATTAAGAGAGAAAAAAGAATCCCAGTATATAGTAGAGGGGAAAATTGTAAAAATCAGGGAAAAATTTTTTTTACTAGTAAAATATTATAATATATATATAGAGTAGTAGTGTGTTGGTTGTGTTTAAAGTTTTTCTGACTTGTGTGTCTCGTCGATTAGCAACGAGAGCATGAGCGAGGAAAGCAATCCTCGTACCCTTTATGTGGGTAATCTCGACACAACCGTGTCCGAGGACCTTTTGTGTGCACTATTCTCACAAATTGGACAGGTGAAAGGATGCAAGATTATCCGCGAACCCGGCAATGATCCTTATGCATTCGTTGAATTCACCAATCATCAATGCGCTGCCACTGCGCTCGCCGCCATGAACAAGCGCCTCTTCCTCGACAAGGAAATGAAGGTTAGTCCCGGCATTTCTCTCCCCTCTCTTCTCTTTCATGGTTTATAAGATTTTTTTTTCTTTTTATCGCATTTCTTTAAAAACAAACAATTGGGGAATATTGGAGGACTTTTTATTTTTTTGTTTAAAAAAAAAAATTCTTTTCTCGAGTGGAAAATTTGACTTATTTTTTGTTTTTCTCATAATTATACATCGTTGCATTTTGGCGTGTGTCCATTTTATTTCTGTTTTTCCAACCATCAAGAAATTGGTTACAATATGCGCGCGAAAATGTTGGGAAAAAAAAAAATTGTTTTCTTTTCTTTTTGCTGCGGAGGTTAGAATTGGTTTTTTCGTTTTCGATTTCTCTTTTTTTTTGGGAAGAGGAAAATTTTGTCGACCCGCCCGTAGGAATGAAAAATGTTTTCAAGTTCAAAGGTCAATGTATTTCATGAATTTATGAATTTTATAAAAAATAATAATAATTACATTTATGTAATTATAATAATTCTCGTTTTCTGATTTTTCGAAAAATTAATCTTCTGAAAAAAAATTCTTTTTGCGATCAATGTTTAAACAAAAATTTCAAGGAGGAAAAGAGGGGAAAGTTGTTAATTGCTTGGCAACGTGATCTGCTTTTTTTGTTACGAATTTTTTATTTTTTTCGTTTATCGGTTTTATTTTCTTTTTTTTTTTTTATTTTACTTCTCTATTTTTCTTTTTATGATTTATTTTTAGGCTGCGTCTACAATAGAAAAAAATAATGTGTAATTTGTAGTGTAATGTGTATTGTTTTTGGCATTGACAACTGTCAGGGTCAATTACACTATATATTACACAATTTTCTACACATTATTTTTTCTGTTGTAGACGCAGCCTTAGGAAAATCTTTTTTTTGTGTTTGTAATTAATTTTTGACTTTCAATTGTTTTTTCAAGTTTTTAATTGGAAAAAACATGTTTTCGAAAAGATTTATTTTTGTTTAGAAATTAATCTTTTAAAACTATTGTTTATCTTGAAATTTTTTTAAAAATGTTTTCAGGAATTTTAATTTGCATAGAAAAATTTATTATTTGTTGATCTACGTTGTAAACTTAAAGTTTTTAATTTTGTTTAATCAGTTTATTGATAAATTTAATTTTCATAATTAATTTGTTGCCCAAATCCTTAATTTAGTTGAAAACTTTTCTTTTTCGAAAACTTAATAATTTTCGGTTAAATTAATTTTTAATTAAAAATTGAATTTAGTTTTTAATTTAATTGAAATTTAACTTAAATTTGCTTTTGAATTTAATTAAAACTAATTTTTGCTTAATTTTCTCAAGACTTTTAATTATAATTTGAAAAAAAATGAATGAAATAAAGAAAAAGAATGTTGATTTAAATTTTTTGATGTTTGAAAAAGATGTTAATTTTTTTCAATGAATTTTCCATTTTCAAAAGGTGAATTGGGCGACAAGTCCTGGAAATCAGCCGAAACAAGATACGAGCAATCATCATCATATTTTTGTTGGCGATTTATCACCGGAAATTGAGACACAAACATTGAAGGAGGCATTCGCTCCGTTTGGTGAAATTAGTAATTGCCGAATTGTTCGTGATCCACAAACGTTGAAAAGCAAAGGTTATGCGTTCGTTTCGTTTGTCAAGAAATCAGAGGCAGAGGCGGCAATTTCAGCTATGAATGGACAATGGTTAGGCTCACGAAGCATCAGAACGAATTGGTCGACGAGAAAACCACCGCCACCGAGATCGGAGAGGCCAAGGCATGCGAATAGCAGCAAACCTAATTATGAAGAGGTAATAAATATATTTTCAATGTAAAAAAAAAGAAATCATTTTTTCTAAAACCATAAAATTTACACAACGGATATTATATAAAAATTAACTATTCTGGAAATAACGATTTTTAATAGCAAAATTTACTATTTTCGATGTTAATTACATTCCTCTTTTTATATAAAAATTTTAACAAAATTTTTATATAAAATAAAATTATTAAAGTTTTTCTCGAATATTACAATTAGCGAAAAGATGTTAAAAACTTTTTAATAACTAATTATAACTAACATAATAACTAATTATGAATTGACTGATCAACACCTTTAAGAACTTTGATTAAATTACAGTTAATTATTAAAAATTATTTTTGAGTAAATTTTAACCCCTATTTTTAAACCTTTTTATAATTTTTATAAAAGAAAATTGTCTTTGAAAATAGTAAAAGTAATTTTGGAAATAACAATTTTTATAATATTAAATTTTACTATTTTTGAAGGAAATTTTCTCGACCCAAATTAATGTTACTAATTTTTTTTTTCTGAAATTTACTTCGTTATATATTAAAAATAATGAAATTTTTGAACAAAAGCAGTGTTGTAATAAAAATTTTGATTCAAAATTTAAGGAAAGTTGCAGACTGCGGAAAAAGATAAAGAAAATTGTCAATAATTAACAGAAAAAGTTTAATAAAAAAAATATGATTTTAAAAAACTGAAGTTAAGAGAAAAAGTAAAAAAAAATTAAACAAATAATATGTATAATATAGAAATTCTTAAAATTAAATTTTAAAAAATATTTAAAAATAATTTTTTGAAGATATTAGTTTGTCAATTAAATACAATTTCTCAAAGGAATTTGATCATTTTTAAAAATAATTGAATTTTCGGGAAAAATTTTATTATTTTAAAATATTATTGAATTTTTTCAAAGAATTTAAGCAAAATGTTAATTATTGAATTTTTTCGTCAAGTTTCATTAAAATTTTATTGAAAATAATTCAATTCCTGATAAGAAATTTATGAAAATAATTAAATTCGTCTGAAGAATTTTATTATTTATAAAAATAATTTAATTCTTGCAAAGAATTTAAAAAAAGGTTTAAAACGTTTAGAAAATAATTGAATTTCTGAAAAGAATTTTATTATTTTTAAAAATATTTGAATTTTTGCTAAGAATTTTATTATTTTCAAATATAATTTAATTTTTGCGAAGAATGTAAAGAGAAATTTATTTAAATAATTGAAAATCTTTTCGTCAAGTTTCATTAAAATTGTATTGAAAATAATTGAATTCATCAGAAAAAATTTATTATTTATAAAAATAATTTAATTTTTGCAAAGAATTTTAAAAAAAAACTAAAACTTTTTAAAAAAATTGAATTTTTCAAAATAATTTTATTATTTTTAAAAATAATTGAATTTTTTCGAGAAATTTTATTAAAATTGAATGGAAAATAATTGAATCACTCTGAAAGAATTTTATTATTTATGAAAATAATTAAAATATTTCGAAGAAAATTAAAATTCTTTTGTGAAATTTAATTAAAATTGTATTATTGAATATAATTGAATTCTTCTAAAGAAATTTATCAAAATTTTTAAAAATAACGAAATTCTTTCGCCATATTTTATAAAAAGTTTATTAATAAAAATCATGCGATGAATTTTTTTGAAATTTTAGAAAATAATAGAATTGTTCTTCTATTAAATTCTTTTTATCTTTTATGTTTACTCGTTTTTTTATGTCCATTTTCAAGAAAATAATTAAATTTTCAACTTTGCTCTTTTTGTGATAAATTGAGTTCTATCTTTTTTTAAATTATACTATAAAATTAGAAACTCAATATTTCATTTTATTACCTTACGTGATTTTTTCTTTACTTATTATTTTCTTTTTGAAGGATAAAGTTTAACTACTGTAATAAAAATTATTAAAATAAAAATTTTTTAATTTAAAAGAAAAGTAAAGCAAAACTTTAATAAATTTTGGCAAAAGAATTAACAAGAGAAATTGATTGTAGCATTGCCAATTTACTGATTATTTTAGTTGTTAAAATTATATTTATAGTTTAATTAAAAATATTTTTATAATATCTTAAATAAATTTATAATTTTTTGACTCAAAACTAAATTAGTAGAAGATTTTTAGGGAATATTTTTATTAAATATTTCAAGGGTAATTTTTGATTGAATTAATAATATTAATAATAAATCTTAAATAATAATAGTAACGAATTATTAGTTACAGAAACGAAAGAAAAGAAAATAATACATTTAAAAATTCTATTTTTTCTAATCTTTTAAGTTTAATAGTACTTTTCGTTTTTCGTATCTTCTTTTATTCTTAAAAAAGCGATACGCTTAATTTCGTTTTTCAAATAATGTTTAAACCAAATAATAGAAATTAAAATTTAAAAAATAGAATTTAAAACTTTGCATATTCAATAAATGTTTTTTATATTACGAAGCATTTCTTTAATTTTTTTTAATATCATCAATTTTGTATATAGTTGAAATTAATAATTATTTTTTTATTAATTTTTATTTTTTAAAAATTTGATTAAAAAAACTTGAATTCCTTTGAAGAATTTTATTAGTTTTCGTTAATAATTAAATTCTTTTGAAGAATTTTATTAAATTATTTGGAAATAATGAAGTTTTTTAATAATTATAATTCAAAAGTAATTAAATTCTACGAAGAATTTATTTCAAGTTTTTTAAAATAATTCTTTTTTGTTAATAATTGCTATTGAAAATTTTATTATTGAATTTCATTGAATTAATATTATTAACATTTTTTGGAAATAATAGAATTTTTCGCTGAATTTTATTACAATTTTTGAAAATAATTGAATTCTACCGAGAATTTTTTAAAGGAATTCAATTATTTTCAAAAATTTTGAGAAAATTCTTAGAAGGATTTAAAATATTTTAAAAGTTTTTAATAAAATTATTTGAATTTAAAATTAATTTCAAAAATTTGCATAAAATTCTTGGAAGGAATTTAATTATTTTTAACAAATTTTTTTGAAGCAATTCAATTATTTGTAATAAAATTTGTTGAACGAATTCAATTTTTTGATAAACTATAAAATACTTGGAAAAATTCAATTATTTTTGGAAAATTTAATAAATTTTTATGCATTTTCAAATTTTTTCGAGGAAAATAATTGAATCTTTTCGGCAAGTTTGAAGTAATTAAAATTTTTTGTGAAGAAATTTGATCAAAATTATTAAAAAGTAATTGATTTTTTCAGAGAACATTTTGTAGATTCTTTTAAATAATTGAATTATTTTTGAGAACTTTTATCAAAATAATTGTTGAAAATCATTGAAATTCTTTGACAAATTTCTATTATTTGTGAAAACTCTTGGGAAAAATTTTTTTAAAAAATTTTAGAAAATAATTGAATTTATCAGAAGAATTTTATTGTTTATAAAAATAATTGAATTCCTCAGAAGAATGTTATTATGTGTAAAAATAATTGAATTCTTAGCGAAAAATTTGTTCAAATTTTTAGAAAATAATTGAATCCGTTGGTGGAATTTAATTAAAATTTGTATTGAAAATAACTGAGCCCCAGAATTTTATTAAAAATTTTGAAAATAATTGAATTGTTTCGAAAAATTGTATTTAAAATTTTTCTAGTATGTAAATTGAAAATAATAATTAAAGGAAAAGTTGAGAGAAAAAAGTTAAATTGAAATTGAGGGAAAAAAAATTCCCACAATGAAATTAAGGGAAAAAGGAAGAAAAAAATATTCTTGAAATTGATATAAATTTTTTTTTTAAATTTTCTCTCTCATTTTTTTACAGGTATATAACCAAAGTAGCCCAACAAACTGTACTGTATATTGCGGTGGTTTTACAAATGGTATAACGGATGAGCTCATAACCAAAACATTCTCGCCTTTTGGTACAATTCAGGATATAAGGGTGTTTAAAGATAAGGGTTATGCTTTTATAAAATTTACTACTAAGGAAGCTGCGGCGCATGCAATTGAATCGACAAATTACACGGAGATCAATGGTTGTATCGTTAAATGCTTCTGGGGTAAGGAAAATGGTGATCCAAACAGCGTAGGACCTAATGCCAATCAACAAGCTCAACAGGTTAGTGAGACAAAAATAAAATCAAAAAAAAGAAAAAGAAAGAAAAGGTATTTTAAACTCGTTTTGAGTTAATAATATATCGTTTGTTTCAATAACACGGCTTTTATTCTCGTGATACGATTTTTTTAGCGATTTTATTTTAGACGCGTTTATGAAAAAAAAATGATAAGACAATCTCTCTCTGTATGTTAACTATTATATTTCGATGTTATGCAACTAAGAGAATGGACGTCCAAGTTCTAAAAATGTATTTGCTATTCTTTGTTATTAGGTAACTTTCGTTTGTCTTTTATCCGCGGTTAAATAGATTGGGGGCGACAATTTACTGCTTATTATTAATAATAATTATTTTTATATAATATATTTTTTTGTAGAGTAAAGATTTTTTTTTAACCCTTAACTATTTTAGTTGTTATTATTATTGTTACTAATATTACTGTTACTATTATTAATATTATTAATTATAATTATATTTTTATTATTGTTATTTTCGTTAAGAATCATTTATTTTTAATTTAGCATTGAAGAACTTCACGAAAAAAAATCTTTACCTGGAATAACTAAAAATTTCACTATATTAGCGAAATTTTTAATTGTTTCAATTAATACTTTACTTCTTAAATATTTCAAAAATAATGAAATTTTATAAGAGTTGCGTTTAAAATTTTTATAAATAAATCTACTTTTGAAGAGGTTTCAATTTGAAATTTCAGAAAATTTCAATTTTGAATAAATTTAATTAGAAGTTTTAAAGAACTTTTTTGAAAAATTTTTTATTTAAATTCTGTTGAAATTTAGTTAAATTTTCTAAAATTATTTCGAAAATTTTAACGTAATTCTTCGAAAGAATTCAATTATCTTGATAAATATTAAAATTCTTCCCTAAAATTTAATTATTTTCAGGCAGTTTAATAAAATTTTTTGAAAGATTTAATTATTTTCAAAAATAACAATATTCATCGCAAGAATTCAATTATTTTCAAAAGTAATATAATTCAGCAATTCTTCGCAGAAAATCAATTATTTTTATAAATTTTTTTTTTAAATTCTCGTCAATATTTCGGTTATCTTTATAAATAGAAAATTTTTTTTGCCGAAATTCAATTATTTTCAAAAATAACAATATTCATACCAAGGATTCAATTATTTTAAAAAGTAATAAAATTCAGCAACATTTTTTGCTGAAATTCAATTGTTTTCAAAGTTTTAATAAAATTCCCCAAAAGAATTCAATTATTTAAAAAAAATTTTGATAAAATTCTACGCAAAAAAAAAAAAATAATAATTTTCATAAGTAACTAAAAATGCACATGAATTCAATTATTTAAAAAACAGCTTACTTTTTTTCCAAAAAAACCAATTATTTCAAAAATGTTAATAACATTTTTTTTGCAAAATCCAATTATTTTCATAATTGACAATATTCATCACAAGAATAAAATTCTTATCACGATTTCAAGTATCTTTACAAATAGCAAAATTTTCCAAAAGAATTCAATTATTTAAAAAAAAATTTGTTAAAATTCTACAAAAAATATTCAACTATTGTCATAAATAAAAAAAATTTCACAGTAATTCAATTATTTAAAAAACATTTTGCATAAATTTTTTCGAATCAATTATTTAATTGCTTTTATAACATTCTTCGCAATAATTTAATTATTTTCATAAATATTATAATTTTATACAGAAATCCAATTATTTTGATAAATAATAAAATTTCTTTTATGAATCCAGTTATTTTCATGAATAATAAAACTCGTCGCAGAATTGCAATTATTTTTAATACAATTTTAATTGAATTCCTCGAGAAATGTAATTATTCTTAAAAGTTTTATTAAAATTCGTCAAAAGAATTCAATTTTAAGGGGTTACCCCCACTTGCAACTTTGAAAAAATCGATTTTTCTTTTATTGCATTTTTTTGAAGCATAAGTAACTGAAAGTATGTCCTGAAAATTTCAAGTCAATTCCAACAAAATTGACTGAGATATGAGCTTTGAAAGAGACGAAAGAGACTGATATATACTGATTTGTATATACATATATGCATCGATAAAATGAATATCTTTTTTTTAATTACCACCATGACTTTTCAGCCTACTTCTGGAAACCAAACTATTACGTACTCCCACTTACCGGAGTTGATTCTATGTAACTTTACAAAAAAATTATTTTCTTCGTGGAAACTGAAATTGAAACTTTAAACGCGTTTTTCTCGAAATGGCATTTCTGAAGTCGGTGACCAAGATTACTCAAACACTAATGAACCGATCTTCTTGAAATTTTGCAGGCTTATTTAATACATAAAAATGTAGTCTTTAATCGTTCGATTTTCTTTTTCGAAAAAAAATGTCCGTTTTATAGCCAAAAAACGGACGTTTTTTTTCGTTAAAATCGAACTTTTAACTTAGACTGTCAGCCATTTTGTGAAAAATAAATATTTTTTTAAATCCTTCGATTAAAGACTAGTTTATACTCATATTTGACTAAATTTATCCACATTTTTTGATTCCGATGATTCACTTCGCCGCAATGTTGGTCACCGCAAACCGTATAAATAAAAATATTATTTCGTTGACGGCAGTTTGATACTTAACTATGTAATATTTTTTAACAAAAAAATTACTAAAAGTTCTTCAATATGTGTTCTTTAAGATGATATAGTTATAGATTAAAAAGGTTTTGTAGTTTTCTTTAAAAAAATTCATAAAAAAGGCTTATTTTTTTGCGCTACAAGTGGGGGTAACCCCTTAAGAAACATTCAATTATTCCATAAATTATTTATGTTTGTATTTAAATAATTGAATACTCTTAGAAATATATAATAAAAGTTGATTTAAAAATCGATTTCAGACAAAATTTGAGATAATAATAATAATTGAATATTAAAAGCATTATAGCCGGAATTTTTCGAAATAATTGAATTTTAAAAAGGTTTCAAATTAAAATCTTTGGAAATCTTAATTCTTTATGGGTACTTTTAATAAAAAATTTTGTAGGATTATTTTTTGGAAAAAGTTTAATTGAATATTTTGAAATTATTTGTAGTTTTTATTTTCTACAATATATTTAATTGAATTTTACATTTTACAATTGAATTTTACATTTTACAACTGAATTTTATATTTTACAATTGAATTTTATATTTTACAATTGAATTTTACATTTTACAACTGAATTTTATATTTTACAATTGAATTTTACATTTTACAACTGAATTTTATATTTTACAATTGAAGAAATTCGTAAATAAATGTATTGGAATATTTCTTTGAGTATCTAATAATTTTTAGAGTGAATCAAAATATTCTTTAGAGGGTCAGGGAAAAAGTCAAAATTTTATCTGGAATTTAAGGGAAATATCAGGGAGAAATAAAATTAAATTTTTGTGGCAACCCTGAAAATAGAAAAAGTAGAAAAAGTAGAAAAAAAACTGGAATAAAAAGAAAAGTTTTCTAAAAAAATCAAAAAATTACAGGTAACGACAGGCGCTGGACAATATCCGTACGGCTACGGTCAACAAATGAGTTACTGGTATCCTCAAAATTATTCACAAATGCAGGGTCAGTTCTTCCAGCAAGCTAGTTACTACAATCAATATTACAATCAACAACAATATATGAATAGCATGAGAATGCCAACGCCAGCGGCTGCAGCGGGTACATGGCAACCTGGACAGCCAGGCGCACCACCGCCAACACCAGCCGCACCACTACAACCTGGACAACAACCGGCAATGGTGACATACACCATGCCACAATATCCAACGCAATGAAATCGATCATCATCAATATCATCAATTATTATTATTATTATTATCATCATTAATCGAACGATGCCAACTGATGAAACTAAAAATAAACGGAATAATCAATCGGGAGAGAAAGGGAAAAAAGAAAAAAGAGAACAACAACATCAACAACAACAACAACAACAAGAAGAAGAAGGGGCGAGGGTAGGGGGCCTATTTCCACTATATACCGATTTTTCTTTTGTGTGCAAAGTCCTTTTTTTCCGACAAAAAAAACTTCAATTTCGTTCATTTTTCATTTTTCTCTATTTTCGTTGTGTTGTTTTTTAATTCAGTTTCTTTTTTAAAAATAATTTGTTCATAAAACTGATTTAGTGAAAGGAAATGTAAAAAAAGGGGAGGGGGGTGGTGGTTAGAAACTCGGTATATATAATCGAAAAAAAAATTGGGCGTAATTTTTTTGAAAAGAGCCCTGCATTCGTCGTGCGGGCATTTTTTTTTAGTTTTGTTGCTATCTATTTTTTTTGAAGCCCCTTTTTTTCTCTCTTCGTTTCCCACTCTTTTTTTTTTAAATCCATTTTGAAAAAAGAAATGTTTTTTCTGTGGTTTAAAAAGATTTTTTTTGTTTCTTTGAAAATAAAATGAAAAAAAAAGTTCATTTCATGATCGATTTTTACCGGATGATGAAATGTGAGTTTTAGTGTAAGATAGACAAAAAAAATGAAGTTAGCTAGACACAGCGCCTGTGATGTAGCTAGTTTTGAATGCACACCGATTTAAATGGGGAAAAAAAAAGAAAAAAAAAACGTATGCAGGGCCCTCATTACGCGTAAAAATACTCTCGCGTTTTTCTTTTTCTCGGGAATTTTTTTTCTTTTTTTCTCTTTTTTGGAACTAATCGATCTTTATCGTCGGTGGTTCGATTTGTTTCGAGGGAAAGAAAAAGTTTCAATTTTTTTTGAATTCAAAATTACGATATTTTTCGCGTTTCTTTGTTTCGATTTGTGTTTTTAAAAAAGAAATTAAACTATAACGTACTTTTTAAACAGATTTTTGTTTTTATTGTTCTAAAAAGAAAAAAAATTGTTTTGACCTCGGTTTTTGACATTTATATTGAATTTTCAATATATATTCATTTCTTTTTGTGTAATTTTTGAGAAAGAAATATTTTTGTCTCCCCCAACCCTTGTGATTGGGAGATGGATTCGAAAAAAACGACGAAATAACAAAGAGCATATTAAAAATTCGAAACGAAAAATAGGGCAAAAAAGAAATTTATTGATCGAAAAATGTTGATCATTTTTGATTAATAAATTGTTTTGAAAAGTAAAATGAAAAATCAGTGGATTTAAAAATAAACAAGTGATCAATAATGAGAATAATAATTTAAAAGAAACTATTTCAATAAAAATACTATTTAAAAAAAAACAAAAACCAAGTTCGAATTACGAGATTTTATATCTTTTGGAAGAAAAGAAGAAAACCTCCCCTTTTGACAACTTCTTTTTTAAATGTTGAAAAGGATTTAAATTTGGAATTTTTGCGAAAAAAGAATTTAAATCTGTTTCAATTTTTTCTTTCAAAGTCCCTTCGAGGAAAAAAATTTTTTTTTTTTGCGAAGAAGGTGAAATTTAAAAGAAAGGACAATTTTTTGTAGGCGACAATTATTCAAATTTTGAAGTGGGGATTAAATGGTAATTAAAATAATTTAGAAAAATTAATCGAAAGAAGCCTTAATCAATTTTTGCTAAAAAAAAACGCTCTTTATAGAATTTTTGATACGATAAAAAGGAGAAGAAAAAAAATAATAAAATCGTGTCTTTGAATTTTTTTATTTGTCTAATTCGCACGCGTGTTGTAAAAGCAAATTTGTTTCTGCTTCAATTCTTTTTTTTTATTATTCATTCTAAATGAGAACTCTTTGTTGATGAATCATTCCAAAAGCATTTTTCCTGAATTTATTAACTTGAATTGTAAATATAATAGAAAGGGAAAATAGCAAAGGGTCACTTTATATTAAGAGAACAAGAGAGTGAGAAAGAGTGCGCGCGAGAGAGAGAAGAGTGAAAGAGAGCGAGAGAGAGAGAGTTAAAAAAATAGATAAAAAAAATAGCAGTAAAAATAAACAATTTTAGTTAGTTTATTGGTGAAAGTTGTTGGACAAAAAAAAAAGAGGAAGAAATAATTTTTTGCGTTTACGACCTACCGACGATAAAAAAAAATGATTTGAGAAAAAAAAATTTCTTATAAGAATTTTTTACAAATAAAGAAAGAAAAGAATGAAAAAAAAAAATTTAGACGTTATTGAAATAATAATAATTGAAAGAAAATAACAACAACAACACGAGTAAAAGAATTTACGAGCACGAGTGTAAATCAAGTGTATGATTTTAGTGAAAGAAAAGAAAATAAAACGAAAGTCAACTAATTAAGAAAACTTGACGAAAAAATGGATCAATAATCAATCAAGTGATGCAAGACGTAAAAGAGTGTTATATAAAGGTAAATTTAGGTACAGAAGGGCGTTAAACCCTCGACAATGCTTAGGATAATGTTATCTTATAATTAAAAAAAAAACAAATTGTCCTTTGAATGAAAGAAGGAATAAATATTTAAAATACAGTCTTTAGCTTTTTTTTCATTCTCGTGAGCTTCGCTTGTGAGACCATTGGACGAATATTATTTTTTTCAATTTTTATTCTTTATTAATTTTCGTAAAAATTATTTGGAATTTAATTAATATTTATATTTTTTGGCAAAAAAATAATGTTTTTTGTATTTTGTTTAAAAATTAATTTTTTTTATTTTTCAGGTTTAGTTGTTAGTTTTTTTTTTCTTTTAAACAGGACTGAGAAGAACGAGAAAAAGGTATTTATAAAAAAACTAAATCTATTTTTTTTATATTCGAAAAATGAGTCATTTTTTTGGAAAATGTTTATTAATATTGTTAACGTAACATTTGGAAGATAATTTATTTATTGAGTTAACATATTTAATTTTATTTAACAAACATTTTTTATTTATTTACATGTTTATTTATTAATTTTATGCGTTATCCTAATACAATAAATTTGACTTATTTTGGAAATTGAAATTGAAATTGAATCCCCTTTTTGAAAAATAAAATTCCATTATTAAATGAATTATTTAAAAATAATTGACTTCTTTAAAAAAATTTCTTCAATTTTTCGAATATAATCTATTTTCGTAATATAATTTAATGTAATTAATAATTTTACTATTAAATTTTATTAAAATAATTGATAGAAATTTAAATTCTTTTAAATAATTTTATTAGAATTTTTGTAAAAAAAAATTATAAATTCTTTTGAAGAATTTTTTCAGGTTTTTTAAAAGTAATGTAATTTTTTTTAAATAATTTTAATCGAAAGTTTCGAAAATAATTAAATTTAATTAATTTTTTTTTTTAATTTTCTGAAACAATTTTTCTCAACTTTTCACAATAATCGTGTTTGTTAATAATTATTATTAAAAATTTGTTTATTGAATATTATTAAAATTGTATTGAAAATAATTGAATAATAATAATAATTATTATTATTATTTTACCCAGGATGTGAAGTAAATTATTTTTTGAACTTTAAACGAATGGTTAACATTTAAGATGTGATAATAACAATTTTGTTGTAAAAGAATAATTAAAATATTTAAATTCTATTCAATTTTCCCGCCTTTTTTGCAAATTGAAATTTCCCGCCAGATTTCTGTTTAAAGCGCGCTTGCGATTGGTTCATTTCAATTGAGTCAATTTCCGCCGGATGTCAGCTGTATACACATAAAAACATTGTTGCACCAGCAAAAAATATAGATTCTATTCTATTTTAAATGAAAATTTAAATATTAAATAAATAATGTCAAGTGTTAATATTTTGAAAACAGTATTGAAATTATGTCCAAGATTTGTTGAGAAAATATGTTTAAAGAAACATTATTGCATCATGAGGAAATTCAGTATTAATAGACAAGTGTATTGCTCTTATTTTAATAATAATAATTTACATTATAATAATTGTTGGAAGAAGAAAATGTTTATTATCGATAATAATGGTGAATCGAGGAAGAGTAAAAATTCTTATTTTATAATGGGTGGAATTTATACACTTTTTGGTTTGTTCAAAGAAAAAGAGGAGAAGGAAGAGGAACCTGAATATATTACAGCAATGAAACGTTCTATTTTGGCTATGCAGGTTAAAATTTTTATATTTTATTTATTTTTAGATAGATTGTTTAATTATTTGTTTCTTTATTGCTGTTTTTTAAAAATTAATTCGTATGTTTTCGGTACATAACCTAAAAATAACAAAAAAATTCATGTTTTTCTTTTCTATATTATATTATTTTTTTTACTAATATTATTAAATATTAAAAAATTTTATTAAATATTTAATAATATCTAAATATTTATATTATATATATATATATATTTTATATTCAGAAATTATTATTTTATATTTATTTATTTTTTAAATATTTTATGATTTTTTATGCTTGAAAAAATGATTTTTTAGAAAAATAAAAATTTGCGAAAAAAGAGAAAAATGTTTTATTTGAATTTTCAATTTTAGCAACACGTATGATTTCTAGAGAGGAGAATTCAAGAAAGCCGAACAAATGTTACATCTTGCACTTCACATGGCGCAAACAATTGACCACTTTAAGGCACAAACGTATATTTTCGATTTAATGGCAAATTTGGCTTTTGAAATGGGCGATTTTGAGAAGGCAGAAAAATTATTTGTCACCGTTATGCAACGATTAATTTCCACTGGAACGGCGGAAAATGATTTGAGAATCGTTCATATGAGTTTGAAATTATCAAAAATTTACGAAGCTAAAGGCCAGTTGGAGTAAGTTATCTTCATAAATTTATAATTTTAATATATATATATATATATATATATATATATATATATATATATATATATATATATGAATGAAATTTATTATTTTCAAATTTTCTCTTTTATGTAGTTTAGAAAAAGTAGATTTTCGATTTTATTCAGGTGTAAATATTTTCGGTAAAAATAGTAAAATAGGAAACAAAATAGTAAAAGTAGTAAAAATAGAAAAAATTGTCAAATAGCAAAAAAAAAAAAAAAAAATAGTAAAGTAAAATAAAATAAATAGTAAATAAAATAGTAAAAATAACAAAAAAGTAAATAAATGGCAACAAATAATAAAATAGGAAATAAACAGATAAAAATAGTAAAAGAAGTAAATAAATAATACAAATAGAAGAAAAAAACTAGTAACACAAATTTTCATTTCGTTTCTTTTTTTTTACAGAAAAGCTGAAGACGGTTATAAATTTTGTTTGCATGCTTTGAAGGAGAATCCGAATAATGAGGAGACGAAATTTTTTCTATTAATGACGCTCGATTATTATGCGCATTTATTAATTGAAAAATCAAAGGAATTGGAGGCCTATAAAATGCTTCTTCAAGCTTACGAATTGTCAATTCCAATTAATGGCATTGAACACGAGCAAACAATTACAATTTTAAATGATCTCGGCACAATTGAATGCAGACAAGGAAATTATAATTTGTCAATTCAACATTTGAATGAAGCACTCAAAGCCGGTAAATCTATTACTATTTTTTATTAATTCTTATATTTAAAAAAACTGAAAATAATTGAAAAACTTTTTCATCTTGATTATTAATTTATTTCATCTAATTTATTATAGTTTATTTCATTTAAATTATTTATTTTATTCAACTAAATTACAATTTTGTTTCATATTATAAATACCAGAAATTCAATTATTTTCATTCATTTTAATACAATTCTTTGAAAAATTCATTTATTTTAGAACATAACATTTTTTTTGCTGAAATTCAATTATTTCAAAAAATGTTAATACCTATTAAATATTTTTAAAAAATTTAATTATTTTAATACAAAACAAAAATCATAACAAGAATTCAATTATTTTCAAAAATTTCCCGCAAGTCAATGTTTTTCAATATCTATACTATTTTTTAATAATATCTCTCAAAAGAATTCAATTATTTAAAAAAAATTTGGAAAAAATTCTACGAAAAATATTCAATTATTTTCATAAATAACAAAATTCTTTTTATGATCATTCAATAATTTTTATAAATAATAAAACTCTTCGCAAAATTCCAATTATTTTTAATACAATTTTAATTGAATTCCTCAAAAAATGTAATTATTCTTAAAAGTTTTATTAAAATTCATCAAAAGAATTCAATTATTATTTAAAAATTAGTTGATAAAATTTGTATTTAAATAATTCAATTCTCGTAGAATTTAATAATAAAAATTGATGTCAAACTGAATTTTAGTTAAAATTTTTAATTATAATTGAATATTAATTGCGTTATACATGATTTTTTTTTAGAAATAATTGAATTTTGAAAAGGTTTCAAATTAAAATTTTTGAAAATCTGAATTTTTCATACTTTTAACTAACAATTCTGCAGAATTAATTTTTTTTTAAAAAGTTTAATTGAATTTTTTTTTAATTGTAAATTTTCATTTTCTAATGTTCATTTAATTGAAGAGTTTCCGAATAATCGTAATTTTTGGTAAAATTGAATTGTAAAGAAATGAATTGGAAAATTCTCAAAGATCTTTTTTAAAAAAATTTAATTATTTTTTTTTAAGAAAATAATAATTGAATTGAAATGATGAAAATAATTTTTAAGAAGTTACAGTAACAATATTATTTTAATACTTTATTACTATTTTTTGAAAAAGTTTTCCTAAATTAAAAAGTTTTCCAAAATTGATAAAAGTAAAATATTTAATGTTCTCGCAGTTTTAAATATTTTATTTGAAAAAAAAATTATATTTATAACAAAATTTACTTATTTTAAAAGTTGGATAATATTTATTTAATAATTTTTTATAAAATTGCAATGATCATTGTTCTGTATTATAAAATTTAAATTATGATTATTCCATATTATAAAATTGCAATGATTATTATTCTATATTACAAAATTGCAATGATTATTTATTATACATTATAAAATATTTAGAAATTTTTTTCTTTCAATTCTATAATAATTATTTAATAATTATTACAAAAATATATAAATTATCCATTTTAGCGGAGAAACTCGAGGATTTTGAGTCAAGTGCATTGCATATTAATTTAGGTTTCACTTATTTAAAACAAGGACTTTATGAGGAGGCGAAAAAATCTTGTAAAGAAGGTCAGATTATTGCGAGAATGATAAAAAATAGCGAATCACTTAACGAGGCAAATGTATGTTTAGAGGAAATCAAAAATTTATCAAAGCGAAAGTGAAAAAAGAATTCTTTTATCTCCCAAAATAAGGGAAAATTAAATTAATTTAATTATTTCATCAATCGAAAAAAGTAATGAAAACTAAATAAATTATCATTACATTAATTAAAATTAATTTATTTCTTGTATCCGCATAAATTGTTTTGAATATTTTTTTAAAATTCTTTTATCCCCAACAAAAGGGAAAAGTAAATTAAATTAATTTTCATTAAATTTGAATGATTAATTTTTATTACTTAAATTAATAAATTATAAAAATTATAATGTTTAGTTATTAAATTATAAAATTTTATATTTACAAAATTATATAATTATCAATTAGTATTATTATTATAATAATTAAATTACAATAATTAATTATTAATTTATTTATTACTTTCGTTTTTATCAGTTTAATAATTTACAAAAATACGTAATTAAATTTCTAAATTTAATTTAATTTAGAAATTAAATTATATTTTGAGCTTTGGGTACAAAATTTATTTTCGACGACATACATTTGTTTTGCTCGACGAGTATATAATAGGTCAATAACAATGTTTTCGCTTTTGTGTATATAAAATAAAAAATAGACGCTTTTTTTAAAAAAAACGTGATCTGGTCATAGTACAAAAAATAAGAAAAATAAAAATGAATCATTTAATGAAAACTAAAGGCGAATAAGTTATAAACTAGTTGATTAACTTAAAAATTTTCATTTAGTTTTTTCCCTTACAAAATTTGCTTTTTTGTCCATTAAAGAAATGTGTCTGAATTTCTTTTCTGACGAATTATTAGCTTTTTGTTAATAATAATATTAATAATATTTGAATAATTTTTCAATTAATATTAATATTTAAATAATATTTTTATATTATTTCCATTAATTTTTAATATTTAAATAATATTTTTATATTATTTCCATTAATTTTTAATATTTAAATAATATTCGAATAATATTTCAATTTTGAATATTTAAATACTATATGAACATTTATTTTATCGAATTAAGTTAATTAATTAATTTAATCACTTAACGATATTAATTGAATTTCAATAATTATACAATTCGTGTATTATTCTTTTTCACTGGGTAAAATTTTTATTTAGTATCTTTATCTTTTATGGAAAATGAAATTGTTCATTAGAAAATTAGGCAAAAAAATTCTTTTTCTTCCTTTTCGTTTTCTTTTTTTTTTTTAATAAAATCCCTCGTCTTCGTCGATATTTTCCTCAGTCTCGGCAATAGCGACACTCGCGAGCATATGACGAGGAATTTCTGAACCGCGTATTTTAATTGTATAACAAACATTTTCAATTTTATTTAAACTCTGCTTCAAAGTTAAGAGTTTACGATTTATTTCACGACCGGAAAACGTTGTGATACCCAAAAATCCCTGATACATATTTCTCACAAAATTACAAGTCTCAAAACAACCGGCAATATTTCCAGTTGATAAATTATTAATACATTTTCGCATTAATTCACCGGTGAGATCGGCAATACCAAGAATATAATCTTGTGGAATTAATGTTGTTTGAATGTATTTTATCATTTCGGGATTTGATTCTTTTATCGCTGTTGTTAATTCCTCTTGTTGATGGGATAAATTTTCCTGAATTTTTTCCAATGAAGAATTCTTCTCTTGATTAGAAATTGTTTCTGTAGATTTCGTCTCTTGTTTTTCAATTTTATAATTCAAGGCAGCGCCAATGTGATTCCAATTTGTGAGTTTTTTATTTTTTAAATACTGTTGAAATGTCATTGCCTCGATGAATTCTTGCATTCCTGGACGATAGGCTTTTATATATTGAAATGAATCGTGACCATCTAATTCTTTGGCGATATTTTTAAAGGGGAATTTTGTAATATTCTCGAGACGTTTTTCAGCTTCATTAAGTATTGTCTCGTGTTTCTCGTCACGATCAATTGTATGCAGAAGGAAAATAATTCTTTTACTTTCAATTGTAATGTCACGGCTTAATTTAACAATTCTCTCGAAACGATCGTGTTTATCGTCAAGTTCAATGGAATAATTGCGAAATTGTTTTATCACTTGACTATTTTCGTCTAATTTATCGAGTACTTCTTTACCCATATCGCCAATACTGACAAAATTATTCTTCCCATGAAAACGTCCACCGCCACCGCGTTTTTTTCGCGCTCCACCGGAATAATCTGATGATTAGAAAAAGAAATTATTAATTTAACGCTTTTTTTTTAAACGAAAAGTAATTATTTAAAGACTTTTGTTTTAAAAAACAGAAAATTATTTTAACGATTTTTTTTAGAGAAAAAATTATTATTTTAACGACTTTTTTAAAATGGAAAAATAATTATTTATAGATTTTTTTTTGAAGAAAAAATAATTTTTTAAGTAATTTTTTTATGAAAAAACAAATTATTATTTTAACGACTTTTTTTGTAAGAAAAAATAATGATTTAAAGCCTTTTTTAAAAAAAGAAAAAATTATTTTAACGAATTTTTTAAAGAAAAAATTATTATTTCAACGATTTTTTTAAAGAAATAATAATTTAACGCATTTTTAAAGAAAAAATTATTATTTAACGTTCTTTTTAAAAAGAAAAATTAATTATTCAAAGACGTTTTTTTAAAAAAAAGAAAAAATATTTTAAAGCTTTTTTTAAAAAAGAAAAAATTATTTTAACGTTTCTTTTTAAAAAAGAAATAGTAATTATTTTACAGCTTTCATTTTCTAAAGTTCTGAACATTCAAATGAAAAAAGTCATTTTTTTTCTCTCTTTGATAGAAAAGAAAGAAAATTAACGAAAAATTATGTGTTGATTAAAAATTTAAAGTTTTGAGAAACAAAAAAAAAAAATTTTTCCATAAATAAATTGTTTTTCGAAGAAAATCAAGAATTGAGAATTTTTAAATTAAAACGTTCATTAATTTTTCAATTAAAAATGGATTTTTTATTTTCTTTATTTAAAAAATTTGTTTCTTAAGGGCATTTGAACCTTGATGACGTTACAGATTGTGCAAAGCATGTGTGACGTCATCAAGGTTCAAATGCCCTTAAATAATTCTTTATTAATAGATAATAAAGAAATTATTCAACCTAGTGAGTCAATAAATTATGATGGAAATTAATTGAATATAATAAAATTTAAATACGAATTAATTAAATATTTTTCGAATAAAAATTAATAATATAATTATAAGGGACATTAATTAGATATAAATTTTTCCCCGTTTATTTTTCGAATAAACAAATAATGAAAAAATTTGTCGACACTGAAAATGAAAGCCGAAAAATAATTATTAAATATAAAATGAAAAAAGAGAAAAATATAAAACAAACCTCTTCCCTGTGACATTTTTCCTTTTTTATTGTATTTTTTTTTAGGTATTTATTATATTAATAATTATACCATACGTGACAATTGATAAATATAATTTTTCAATTTATACAGTAATTCAAAAAAATTGTTTTTAATTTTCTTCTTCTTATTCTTAAATTTTAACAATTTTTCTTTCAAATTTGCTTTTATTAGTACGAAATATTTAAATTTTTTTAATTATAAATCTTATAAAATCACCGTAAAAGAAAAATATTTTTCAAGTTTTTGTTGACATTTGCCATTTGCGCAAAAATTTTTACCGGATGTAGAACGATTTTTAGGTTAGAATGTTTAGTTCAGTAATTTAATACTAAAGGGCGCTGAAAATTGTCGACAATGGCGGCAATTTTTAAATGACTATTTTTCCTTTCTAAAATGCAAAATTATAGAAAAAAATATTTTTTTTATTTAAACAATTGATTCTTGTGTTAAATAATAAAGGAAAATTATTTTTTTAAACTAATCTTATTAATACAAATAGTGATACAAAGTAAAGGAGTCAAATTTAGAATTCTGAATTTCAAATTTCCCTCCACATTTGTAGTGTTTCTGCGCAGATTCGTTTTACTTCCGCCCAATGCTTGAGTCAAATGAGTAACTATTTTTAGTTGTTCTTTCTCATTGTTAATGGCAAATATTCTTGAATTTTACCAACTTTTTGTATTTTTTGTGGCTTTTTGTTAAATTCGTTGCGAAAAAGTATCTTTTTAAGAATGCCTGACAATTAAAAGAAAATGTTTCGTGTATAGAATTTAATTTGACTTGTGTGCCATTGTCACTCGATCATCAGTCTTTCAATCCTTCGGGCAAGTTGTACATTTTTTCTGCGAAAAATAATTTTTCATCTGAAATTATTTTACTAAATCTATACGTGAAGGCTAATTTTTTGGTGAGTACTTAATTTTTCTCTATTTCGTTTCAAAATTTAGTTATTTATTTAGGAAGAAAAAAGTGAGAATGTGATTTTAGAGGTTAATTATTGTGTCACATGTTTTTTGTCCTGTGAACTCTGAATTATTTTCCATGTATTTTTTCCTAATTTGTAATTTACTCTGAATATTTTTATTAATTAATTATTCAGTGATTTTTTTACGATAAAAGATTTAAAACGACAGAAAATAATGCGGTAAAGAATTAAAATGTGCTTTTTTGTCTAACGGTTTTTTTCTTCTTAATTCTGGGAATTGTTTGTCGCAGTCGCACATTATTCTCAGAATTTAGGAAAAACCGTTGCAAAGTAATTCGTAAAAGAATATTGTTTTAAAGTGTGAAAAACAGAAAAATATTTAATTAAATCGATATTTGTTATAATAATGTAATTAAAATTAATAGATAGATATTTTTAATTTTTTTAATATTTGAATTAAATTTCAGGTTAAATTAAATAAAGGAATATTTTATTTTTAATAATATTAAAATTTAATTATTACAAATATTGGTTATTTAAAAAAAATTAAAAGACAAAAATTTGGTTTTAATCTCAGAACTAATTTTTATAAATCTTTTAAACTTATTATTTTTCATTAACATTTATTTTTCAATTAAAATAATAATTTTCTACAGAAAATTACAAGGTGAGTTTTTTCTCCTTTGATTTGTTTTTCAAATTAATTTTCTTTCTGGTAACAATTATTATCTTATTATAATTTTCATTACAGATGTGATTTTAATTTGCTTATGTTCGTTTTAAGATTAAAAATTATTATTATTATTAAAAAATTGCCTGATGAGGACTTAATCAAAGTCGAAACTTGTAGCAATTTGCATTTTTTATAATTTTTTGTAATAAACAAACATCTTTAACCGTAAAAGGCCTCTAAATACTATTATCAATATTATTAAAATTTACCTTTGTTTTCTAAATGAAAAAACAGTGAATTAACTTTTTTTCAAGTATAAAATACTTTATTATATTTTACAAATTTATTATATTCAAATTATTCGTCAAATATAATAAACCTAATAATAATTATTCTTAATTACATTTCAATTATTATTAATATTAAAAACAATAATTATAATTAAAGTTGGAACAGTCCAAAGTGTCGTAATTATAATATTATTCATTTAAAGAATTAAATAAAAAGAAAAATAATAATTGAACAATTTGAAAAATTTGATGAAATTAAATTAAGTCTATTGAGGTAATTATTAAATTATGCACATGAAAATTTGTGAAACAATTCTTTCTCTCTTTTTTCTCTCTCTCAATATGGTCGTGAATTACGTTGATAAACATGTCTTCCACCGTGTTTATCATATCTATCATGACGTTCATGATGTCGGTCCCAAGAATTATGTCTATTTTGTCGATAATTTTGACGATTCCAATCGTTTTGCGGTCTTCTTGGTTTATTGTGCCATGGATCAATAATCGGGGGTTTTTTTGCCTCTGCATTTTTTATTTTCATAAATGCTTCATCCTTCTCGGAATAACGATCCGCGTATAATGTTTCACATTCTTTTAAAAAATTCTCCTGTTCACTCGTCAATGGTATGCTTTCCATTTTTTTTACTATTCTGCAAAGTAAAAAGCAAAATATTCTAATTTCGAAATTATTTTAATTAAAATATAAAAAGTAAACCTACAAAATTGAAACTAAAATTGATATTTTAATTGTAAAATTAGTAATTGGTTTTTAGATTAAAATTTGGAATTGTTGACATAACCTCAAAATTTGTTTTTATTTTTATAAGAACTTTTTTATAATTAACGAAATTAATAAAGAAATAAAAATACGAATAATTGCAAAAATTTATATTTGCGAAGTAATTAAATGGTAAAATATTCCACCTTTTATGGGAGACATAAACAAAATGCGATAATTAAAAATACTTTACTGCGATGTTATTTACTTGAAAGAGATTGAATGAGAAATTAAGGAAAGTGGAAGATTAATTTTTGATTTTAGGTTGTAAAACTTACTTGTAATATTCCTTTATTAATGATTATGTTAATATTGCAATATTATTGATTTTAATTATCCAATTTCTGTGTCTAAAATTTATAATTTCACATCAGATATGATGTAAACACAATCGTCGCCATTTTGAAACATTGTGACTTTAACAACAATCGGTAAAATCATAATCTTGAAAAATCATTTTTTAATTAGGAATTATAGAAGTTAAGATTTTTGGTAAAAGTTTTCTAATGTAACAGTGAATTAAAAGGTATATTATAATAATATAGGAAAATTAACGAACCATAAGTTATAAAAATAGAAAAAATATACATAAATGTCATAGACTCTTGTACGATGTACGTACTAGCTTGTATGCCGGGAAAAAGTCAAAGTACAGGGGCAGTATAATTATTTTTTTTCTTATCTTTTTATAACAATAATAAAATTTTTCTTCAAAATTCAATTATTTTAAAAAATTTTAATAAAATTCTTATCAAAATTTCACAGGAATTCAATTATTACAAAATTTTTAATAAATTTCTTGGAAATAATTCAATTATTTTCATAAGTAATAAAATTTTCACATGAATTCAATTATTTAAAATACAAAATTTTTATAAAATTTTTAGAAAAATATCAATTATTTAAAAAGATTTTTTATAAAATTCATCGCAAGAATTCAATTATTTAAAAAAAATTTAACAAAGTTCTTTTCAAGAATTCAATTATTTTTATAAATAATAAAATTCTTCACCGAAATTTAATTATTTTTATAAACTTGAATAAAATTCGTTTGAAGATTTAAATAATGTTAAAAAATTTTTTTAAAATTCTTGTCATAATTTCAAGTATCTTTATAAATAATAAAATTCTTCTCCGAAATTCGATAATTTTAGAAAAATTTTAATAAAATTCTTGGGAAAATTTTAATTATTTTGATAAATAATAAAACTCATCGCAGGATTTTAATTAGTTTTAATACAATTTTTAATCGAATTCCTCGATAAATGTAATTATTCTTAAAAAATTTATTAAACTTTATCAAAAGAATTCAATTTATTTAAAAATTTGTTGATAAAATTCTTTATGAGAATTCAATTTTAAAAAACATTCAATTCTTCAATAAATTATTTATTTTTGTACTTAAATAATTGAATTCTCGTAAAATTTTCTAATAAAAATTGATTTAAATATAATTTTCAGTTAAAATTAATTAATTAATTAATTAATTAATTAATTAATTAATTAATTAATTAATTAATTTCAGTTAAAATTATTACTGTAAATTATTCAAAATTAGTTACATCATTTTAATTCAATTATTGTTTTCCAAAATTTTTAACTAAAATTCTTCTTTAAATTAATTATTATTAATAATTTTTTAAACATTTCTTTGAACATTTTCAAATCCTTTTGTTTACAATTCCATTTTACGAAATTTGATCGATTATCAGGAAATTCTTCAATCAAATATTAGAAAATAAAAACTTCAAATAACTTAAAAAAAATTCAATTGAATTTTTTCAAAAAAATTTAAATCTACACAATTTTCAGTTAAAAGTATGAAAAATTCAAACATTCAAAGATCAAAATTCAATTATCTACAATTTTAACTAAAATTCATATTTGAATCAATTATAATTAGAAAATTATACGACAATTCAAATTATTTAAATACAAAAATAAGTAATTTATTGCATAATTGAATGTTTCTTAAAATTCAATTCCCATAAAGCATCGTTATCAACAAATTTTCAAATAATTGAATTCTATCAACGAATTTTAATAATATTTTTAAGAATAATTACATTTTTTCGAGAAATTCGATTCAAATTGTATTAAAAATAATTGAAATTCAGCAATGAGTTTTATTATTTGTGAAAATAATTGAATCCCTAAGAAAAATGTTATTACTTTTGAACAATATTTAATTTTTGCGAAGCATATTATTACTCTTGAAAATAATTGAATTTTTCCAATAATTTCTAACTTTTACAAAATTGAATTTTTTTCGTGTTTTTAACTAAACATCTTCCATAAATTTATTATTTTTAATAATTTTTGAAAAAGTTCTTTAAATATTTATAAAAATAATTGAATTGCTGTGAAAATAAATTGAATATTTTTGAAAATAATGGAATTATTGCAAAGAAATTTATAAAAAAAATTTGTAAATAATTGAATTGCTGTGAAATATTTGTTACTTATAAAAATAATAAAAGGTTTGCTTAGAATTTTATCAAAAAAGTTTTTTTAAATAATTCATTTCTTTTGGAAAATATTGTTAAACAATATTCTTGTAATATAAAATAATGATTTTATCAGTCGGTCATCTTTATAAATATTATAATAATGTTTTATAACAATGTTATAACAATTTATTAAGTTAAATTTCATAATTTTATTTTGTTGAAAGCGTCGAATTTTGCTTGACGTCTAGCAGAAAATTTAGATTTATTTTTAAATTAATACGTCACAAAATTTGGCATGTTTATTTTTTTATAATTTGTTTAATTTCAAAAAGGATTGAATTAGAATTTTTTGAAGAATTTTAATTCCTAAGGAAAAATAATAATTAAATATTTATTTCGAAAAAGATGCGGAATACAGTATTATATGAATGTTTCATGAATTTGTAAAAATTTATTAGAATTATTTAATTTTGTAAAATATGAATATAGTTTTAGAAACTGCTTAAATTTGTTAAAATAATTTATTTTTATGATGTATAAGTTAAACTAATAGTGTTCTATTCTAATATAGTTAAACGGAGTGCAAAGAGTAAAAAATACCTTATGGATTAATAGTTCTAACTTTAACGCTTTTAAGACCTTGAGAATTAATATTATCCTTTGTTGCAAAAATATAGAATTTGTACACATTTCCCGGTTTCAGTTTAGTGACTTCATATCTAACTTGATCTGAACTTGCATTGTGAATTTCAGTATTAGTCCAAATATCATTTGGGTTTACAGTAAATATTGTGTACACAACAATGTTGGGACTGTTGTCTGGTTTACGCCACTGAAGAACAACTGTCGTATTTGTAACATTTTTTATATAAAGTGGTCCCTTGGGTTGATTAGGTTTATCTGCAAAATCAACAAAATTAATTCCAAAGTAGATGAATTGATAAAAATCGGTTCCTTTGATTTTAAAATTTTTAAAATGTAAAAGAAAAATATACATACATAGAGGATTTTCAAGTATCATTTCTCTGCTCACTAGTGCTTTTGAACTGACATCTAAAGGTTTAATAATGAATTTATATTTTTCTCCAGGAGTTAGTTCATTGACTTTGGCAACTGGTTTATCTGAGTGGTCGTTAACAGTTGCATGATACCAACGCTTCATGGTATTGGTATTTAGTATAAAGAGAGCATAGTCCACATTAATTAAACTATTCTTTGGTTTAGTCCACTCAAGTTTGACTGATGTATCCTTGACATCGATTATTTTAAGTTCTTCTGATGGTGGCTCTCTCAATAAACCGTCAATCACAATATCTTTGAATATACAGATTAGATTTTAAAAATATTATCGATAACAGAAATTAGAAATTAGACTACATTAAATCATAATTAACATTATTTAACATTAATTATACATTTAAATTCTATTATAATTCTAATTTCTAATTCTATAATAATTGTATTTGTTAAAGTATTATTACCTTGTGGATGTTTAGTCATTAGTTCTTCAATCACGTGACTATTAGAACTTCCATTTTCATTATAAGCTTGAATTTGGAAATTGTATCTTCTGCCTGCTTTGAGTCCAGTGATTTTGTACTGCGGATAGTCGGAGGAACTCTGAAAGTCAATAGTATTCCATGTCCATAAATCAGTTTCCGACCACATAATATTATATTTTACAAAATCATCAGCGTTCTCAGGTTTACGCCATTGGAGCGTAAGTTGTGAATACGTGACATCGTACGCCAAAAACGGTTCTTTAACATTAGATGGTCTTGCTGCAAATTACAAAATTTAAAATTTTCTCGAACTACTATTCAAGTGTCAACTGCTAAAAATGCAGATAAAAAAATATTACCCAGCAGCATTTTAGTAGTGATTTCATCACTGATCTGCCTGACGAAACTTTTTTCCAAAAAAGGATCGAATTGCAAATTTAAAATTTCGAATTTGTATGTCATTCCTGGAGAAAGTTCAGTAATCCTAAATTCCGTAGTATTATTGAAACCTTGCACCTTACATTTCGTAACGAATTTACTTATTCCGTTTCTTAAGTTGTGAACAAAAATATAATACATTGTACTATTGTAATAATTTTTCCATTGCAAATTAATTGTCCTATCCGTGACATCAAGTACTTTTATTCCACCTGGTGCTCTACCCAATTTTTGAATATTTCTCATAAAAAAATCATCGTCAAATTCTGTTTCAGAAAATGAAAAGTTGATTATTAAAAATTTAAAATATTCTATAATAATGAATAAATAACTAAATATAATTACCATCGGTACAGATAGATTGGACTATAAGGCATGCAGCATAAATGTAAAATATTAAAGACATGATTAAATATCAAAAGAACACTGAACGAATTAATAACGACCTGAGAATAAATTGTGTCTTTATATATATAAAATTTATATGTAAACTTACATAATTTAATCATAAATTAATTGACTTACGAAATTTCATCTTTATTCTACAGCGATAAATTAGGATTGTGCAAAAGAAATCTTATTTGTCTTTAAACTAATCTGTTTGGATTGATATTATCTTTAAAACAAAATTTTATATACTTAAAGTTAGTAAAAGATTTTATTCTGTTAAATGTGAATCATAAATTTGATATAACATATATTATATGTATATATGCTTTTCGAAAAATATAAATTAAATTACGATAAATCTTGTTGTTTCATTTCACAAGATTCATTTTAGAATATATAAAGAAAAAATTTAGTCTCTAGTCAAAGGTCTTCAGTATCAAGTTATTAAAAATGAAAATAAAGTTTACGGTGTATTTCATTTTTGCTGCAAATTTTTTATTTTCGTCAATTTTAACCGATGGTAATTATACATTCTTTTTATTAAATAGTAAAAAATGTTAAGTTGATAATTAAGTAAAATAATGGTAATTTAATTTCAAATAAAGTTTTTAAAATTTTATGTTCTTTTTCATAATGTTAAAGTCTGATGTATTTTATTTTATTTTATAATTGTGGATAAATTACAGGAGGAATTTATGTACATAATGTTACGCATGAATCAGTCAAATTTGCTTGGAATGGTGAAGATAAATTCACGTATTTAATTATCGTTCACGATATAACAAACATGAAAAGTAAGCACACTTTTGAAATTAACGAGAGCAGATCTTACATGCAGTACGTGATCGTTAATCTTAATCCCGAATGTAAATATGTATTAGAAATTTTGGGCTATAATGATGAGGGAGATGTTAGGAGATTTTTGAGTAAAGAAATTACAACTGCAAGTCTACCAGGTATATGAATTTTAAGTCGAGAAATATTAAATTTTTATTTTATTTTAACAATTCAAAAAATTGACAAAAATTGAGATAATTTTTATTAATTTTAATTTATTTGTATAGTTAAAGCGGCCAAGAGACGGCGAATACACAGGGTTTCTTATAAAGATTGATGTAGGTTTTTAGTGAAGAAAATAAAAGAAATTTTAAATAAGTAAATAATGTAATTAAGTTTAAATTAAAATTTTTTTTAAGAATGAAACAATCCTTTTTTGAGTAACATTAATTCTGAACTTGATGTCATGGTTAGAGAGAAGGTTATTATCTCAAAGAGTATCTACATAAAAATCAAAACCAGTTGTCTATCTATAAAAAATAAGTTTTTATAATTTTTTTTGAAAAAATATAACATTCGTTATTTTTGTTTTAAACAATGTTTTTATTAGAATCAATTAATACTAGTTAATTATAATATTACATTCATTTTAGGGACGTAGCAAAAACATTTGAAAATAAATTCACTTTCTTTTATACTTAAGAAATCTTAAATTTTTTAAATTTCTTTAAAACAATCCATCAAAAATAAATAAATACATTTTATGTATATACTTAATAATTAAAATAAATAGAAATCAAATTTACAAATGTACATATAAAAATTAATCACGTGTTCGTACATCTAAATTTAAAGGTCATTTTTTACCTTTAAACTATAAATTATAATTACATTGTTCTGGGAGTATACGTAGAACTAAACTAAGAAGAAAATAGTAAAAATATATAAAAAATGTCATTATTTTTAAATTTTTAGATTTTCTTTTCTAATTAATTATGTAACTATTCTACATTACGGAATTTTATGTACGAGTTTCTTCATCATGAGGACATTGGATCTTCCTTTATTATTCTGAGAGTAAACTCGAAATTGATATTTTTTACCCTCTTTAAGTCCGGTAATTTTATATAATGGATATTCGGAGTTACTGTAAAATTCTATAGTTTTCTTTATTATTGAGCCTACTTCTTTATATTTGATGAAATACGTTAGAGTTGTTGGAGATTTGATATTTTTACTCCACTGAAGTGTAACTGCATTATTAGTGACATCAAACACCCTTAACTTTTGAAGATCATTGGGTTTTTCTGTAAGAAAAAGACATCTTAATGTTAGAAGGGACTTTTCTTAAATTTATAATATTAAATTAAATATGAAAATTTTTTCTATATATTTCAATCTTCTTATACAATCTTATAATTTGTAAAATTGTAACTTATAATCTTGTAATTATAAAATTATAACTTACTATATTATAATTTATAACTAAGAATCTTATAATTTTGAAATTATAACTTAAAGTCTTACAGTTTTTAAATTATAATTTAGAATCTTATAATTCTAAAATTATAACTTAGAATTTTAAAATTATAAATTAAAATTAAAATTAAAATTTAAATTTAATTTTAAATTATAAAGAGATATCTTAAAATCTTTTTCTCTAATACCTTTTGGATTCTCAGTGATGACTTCCTTGCTCACGTGTCTTTCAAAATCCAGATCATATTCCGTTAAATCATCCGCCTTCAAACACAAGACTTCGAATTTATATATGTAGCCTGGTTCGAGTTCCTTTACTCTGTATTCAATAGTATTTGATAATTTTCGTCTTGCGACAAATTTTTTTAAGAATTTGCTCGTCTTCTTATTTATATTGTGTACAATAAGATATTGAAATGTTCTATTGTAGACAATATCCCATTTTAGATTTACTGTTGTATCAGTGAAATCAACAACACTTACAGTTCCATGTTCTTTGCCAAGAATAGGTACATTTTTAAAAATGAAATCACTGCCAATTTCTAAACATAAAAATAAAGAATGTTAAGAAAATAAAAAATTAAAGAATGTAAGTGAAATTAGAAATTTAGAAATAAAAATGAAATTAAAAGTATAAATGACACTAGAAGTGAGAATATAAAAACTTTTAAAAGAAAATATAAAACTTTTAAAAATAAAAAATGGAAGTAAAAATAAATTTAAAAGTATATATAAAATTACCATCGCTATTGATAGATGAAATAAAAATCGTTGAGAGAAGAGAGAAAATTACTGTAGTCTTCATTTTTAATGTCTATAGATGACAAACAATTGTATAGAAAGTAAATTTTGAATAATACTCTCGAGAGAAAAAAATTAGGATTATATAGGAAATTAAAATATGTTCGAATGACGTAGAATGATAAATATTTTGTTTTAAAAAAGATAAGAATTTTTTCGGGTAACTTTTATTCATAAACATCCGTTTTCCATGTAGACTATTGTTTATTTATACGATTACGTCGTTATAACAGAAATTCTAGAATAGCCTACGTGCCGTATGCGCCGAAATGAAAAATTTTTCAAATTTCATTTTATCGTTGTATATCTTTTTTTTTCACTTACTATTCAATGAATTTTGATTTAATGCGAAAAATATTTTAAAATCCTCTTTAAGAGGATAAGGACTAATTAAAATTGAAATTTAAAACATTTTTTTTTAAATCGAATAGAAGAATAAATTTTTCAATAATGCCTACACGTTTAATTGCACGTAGACTCTGAATCGATCCATTTGTGTAAACACATAAATCATTTCAATTGATTAAACAATTGTTTTTTTTCCATTCTTCACTTATTTAATTGATAAAAAAATTATTTATTATCAAGATGATTGAAATTTTTGAAAAATATTTTCTACAACACGTGTAGTAAATATTCATAAATACGTAATATTTTTTTTTTTGAATTAAATTATTATTTTCGTTTGAATGCAACGTCATTGAAATAAAATTTAGTATATATATAGATAGAATTTATTTCTTCTATTACATGTTCGTCTACTTTAGTACGAATTAAGTGTAAAATTAAAAAAAAAAAAAGTTTTGTTAAAATGAAGACTGTATTTTTAATTTTTGCAATATTTATATCTACATCTGTTAGCATCGATGGTAATTAATTTTTTCTTTATTTCATTTAATGAAGATAATATTTTTGACGAAAGATGTTTTTTATAGAAGAAATCAAAGTACTTGATTTTAGCCGACAAACAGTAAATCTACAGTGGTATAATAAAAATTGCCGAACTTGTGTAGTTATTGTTCATGACAAAACATTTATGAAAAGTACACACGAAGCGGAAATTAAAATCAGATCAGGATTAGTTAAGAGCAGAGTATTTGGACTTCTACCTGGACATTTGTATATATTCGAAATTGTATGTTTTAATAAGAAAGGAGATTTTTATCGAATTTTGAGTAAAGAAGTCACAACTGAAAAAGCAACAGGTACGAATTTAAAAGTATTTGAATTAATAAACCGCCCCTTTTTAAATAATCCATTTTTTCTATAAAGAATAATTTTTTTCTTAGAACGACCTAATAAACCCGAAGGACCACTTCTTGTGTCTAATATTACAGAAAGAGCAGCATTACTTCACTGGAGTAAACCAAAGAATTGTGCCAATGCTGTAGAATATATTATTAAATTACATAAATTATATCCACACGAAATATATAAGGAACGGCATTTTATTAGTGCAGAAAATTCTCTAGAGTATTTCTATACAGGACTAGAACCAAAAACTGCATATCAATTTGAAATTGTAGCTGGCAATTTTCAGGGCATTTCTGAATCACTTATGAGTTCATTATTTCTTACTAAATCTTTAAATTCTACTCTAGTGTAATATTTCGAAAAAAGATTATAATAAAAAATTCTCCGAATTTTAATTATATATCGAATAACAATTCGACCTAGCTAATTATTTATTTATTTAACATATAAGTCGGCTTTAATGGCAAAAAAGGCCTTCTTCCAGAAGTATTAAATTAAGCTTATAATGTATTGTAAATATAAAATAAAGTAATTTTTTTAAAATTGTGTGTTCAATTACAATAATTTCTTTAAATAGAAACGTAGATTGCAATAGAAAATGTAGATGAGCCACAGTTAAAAAATAAAACTTCTTAACATTTTTTTTAAGTTATTTAAATATATTAATTAATAAACAATAAATATATAATATATAAACCAGACAAATTTATCTTCACCTAAAACAAAACAAAAATAACCAGAATTAGAAAAAATGTGACATGTTTTATAATGTTTTATAATAATTATAATTATTATAATATTTATAAAGATGACCGACACCGACTGATAAAATCATTATTTTATATTATAAGAATATTGTTTAGCAATATTTTCCAAAAGAAATGAATTATTTAAAAAAATTTTTTGATAAAAATTCTAAGCAAACCTTTTATTATTTTTATAAATAACAAATATTTCACAGCAATTCAATTATTTTTATAAATATTTAAAGAACTTTTTCAAAAATTATTAAAAATAATAAATTTATGGAAGATGTTTAGTTAAAAATACGAAAAAAAATTCAATTTTGTAAAAGTTAGAAATTATTGGAAAAATTCAATTATTTTCAAGAGTAATAATATTCTTCGCAAAAATTAAATATTGTTCAAAAGTAATAAAATTCTTCTTAGGGATTCAATTATTTTCACAAATAATAAAACTCATTGCTGAATTTCAATTATTTTTAATACAATTTGAATCGAATTTCTCGAAAAAATGTAATTATTCTTAAAAATTTTATTAAAATTTGTTGATAGAATTCAATTATTTGAAAATTTGTTGATAACGATTCTTTATGGGAATTGAATTTTAAGAAACATTCAATTATTCAATAAATTACTTATTTTTGTATTTAAATAATTTGAATTGTATAATTTTCTAATTATAATTGATTCAAATATGAATTTCAGTTAAAATTGTAGATAATTGAATTTTGATCTTTGAATGTTTGAATTTTTCATACTTTTAATTGAAAATTGTGTAGATTTAATTTTTTTGAAAAAGTTCAATTGGATTTTTTTTTAAGTTATTTGAAGTTTTTATTTTCTGATATTTGATTAAAGAATTTCCTAATAATCAATAATTGGTATGTTTTTAGGACCTTAATAATCAATGAAATTTCGTAAAATTGAATTGTAAACAAAAGAATTTGAAAATGTTCAAAGAAATGTTTTAAAAATTATTAATAATAATTAATAATAATTCATTTAAAGAAGAATTTTAGTTAAAAATTTTGGAAAACAATATGAATTAAAATTACTTTCATCACTTCAATTATTGTTATCCAGAATTTTTAACTAAAATTCTTCTTTAAATTAATTATTCATTCATTTTTAATAATTTTTGGAAAATTTCTTTGACAATTTTCAAATCCTTTTGTTTACAATTCAATATTACAAAATTTCATCGATTATTCGGAAATTCTTCAAACAAAGATATATATTAGAAAATAAAAACTTCAAAGAACTAAAAAAAAATTCAATTAAACTTTTTTAATAAAATTAAATTTTTCACAATTTCCAGTTAAGTGTATAAAAAATTCAAACTTTCAAAGATTATAAATTGAAACCTTTTAAAAATTCAATTATTTCTAAAAATTCACGCTATGATACTTTCTCTCTAGAATTAGTAAAAATGTTTACTAATTGGAATTAGTAACTGACATTTTGCTTTTGAATTAGTAAATTTTACTATTAAATTAGTAGAAACGACTATTTATTAGTAAAATCTGCTATTTCAAATTTCAAAAGCATAAAGTCAGCCTCTAATTCAAATTAGAAAACATTTTTACTAATTCAAATTTAGAGAGTTTAATATTCAATTATCTAAAATTTTAACTGAAAATTATATTTAAATCAATTTTTATTAGAAAATTTTACGAGAATTCAATTATTTAAATACAAATAAAATGCAAATAAATAATTTATTGAAGAATTGAATGTTTTTTAAAATTGAATTCTCATAAAGAATTTTATCACAAATTTTTAAATAATTGAATTCTTTTGACAAATTTTAATAAAAATTTTAAGAATAATTTTATTTTTCGAGAAATTAGATTAAAATTATATTAAAAATAATTATTGAATCCCTGTAAAAAAATTTGATTGAATTGATAGAAATGTTTTTGAAAATAATTGAAATTTAGCCAAAAAATTTTATTAAAATTTTTGAAAATAATTGAAATTTAGCCAAGAATTTTACTAAAATTTTTGAAAATAATTGAATTTTGAAGAAGAAATTTATTATTTATAAAGATAATTGAAAGTTTGACGAAATTTTTTTAAAACTTTTAACCATAATTGAACTTTTGCGAAGAATTTTATTGCTTTTGAAAATAATTGAATTCTTGAGACGAATTTTAATAATATTTCTTTTTTAAATAATTGCATACTTTTGTGAAATTTTATTGAAATAGTAGATATTAACAATAATTGAATTTTTATAAATTATTGAAATTGATTTAATTCTACGAAGAATTTTATTATAAAATTATTTTGAAAAAAAATTGAATTGTTAAAAAGAATTTCATTAAAATTTTTTAAAATAAATAAATTTTTGGAAGATTTTTTTAAAATAATTGAATTTTTTGATGAATTTTAATAAAATTTTTGAGAATTTTCGAAAATTATTTTTACTACTAATATACTAATTTTGAGAATATAAGAAACTCCCGTCTGACTAAAATCTATTTAAACTACTGATTTTGTAGCGAAAAGAATGAAAAGAAAGATGTCTGACTAAAACGAAATTCTACTACTATTTTCCTTAAAACAAGTGGTAAAAAATACCTTGTCTGACTAAAAATAAATGAAACTACTGTTTTCACTGTAAATCAAATTTTATTTTTTTACTCAAATTAAAAAAAATTTTGACAGACTGAAATGTACTTTGAATACTTTATTCTTAAGGGAAAGGGGTAAACAATGCTTTGTCTGACTAAAAATAACTTAAACTACTGGTTCGGACTAGAAAATAATTTTTATTATTTAAATAGTAAATTACTTTAATTATTGGAACATAAATAATTTAACATAAATTATTGACAATTTTTTAGGGGATTTTTCTGTTGTCTGACTAAAATTTACTTGAACTACTATTTTTTTAAGGATATTTACTAGGTATACGTATTTTTAAATTCTGATGATTTAAAAATTAGGTTTGTCTGACTAGAAATGACATTTACTACTGATATACTAACTTTAAGGGGCAGACATAATGTCCGTCTGACTAAAGACTTTTTAAACTACTGATTTTCTAAAATAATTAACAATATGAATTTCCATTAAATAATAATTTACTCAAATTGAAATTAAAATTATTGCAGTTATATTAAAAAACGTTTATAATAATTTAAAATTCGATGCTGATTGAAAATTCTAAGAATTTAAATGCAAGCCACCTATATGCGTCCCAAAAATTATATTATAATTCTCCCAGCGACTAGATGTTTAAATTTCGAAAACTAAAAGTGAAGGTCTTTAGAAGAAAAATTCAATATATGCTAGTTCATTTAGTTATTATTAAAAGCTTTTTAATTTTATTTTTGCAATCGATACACAGTATCGATTTTTGTAATTTCTTCTCCATTATCATTTATATATATTTACCGCTCGAGTAAATAAATTTTTATGTGAGCAACTCACACAAATCAAACATGAATAAAAAATAGTGGTTATAAATATCATTTGACAATAATATTAATTTTAACAAAGCTTTCTTTTATAACGTGCAAGTCAATTTTTTTTTTTTTTGCAAATAATTTTTTTCCTTTTATATATAAATGTTATTATTTAAAATGACAATTTTTCTCGCATGTGAATAAAATTAGAAAGATTAAAATTCCCCCGTAAATTATATATTATTCTCCTTCTTTCTTCTTGCATCTTTAAAAACTAAAGCAATTAGAAAACAATTTGGTATTTTTAAAAAGTTTAATAAAATCGTTAAAATATCAAAAATAATTTCCCACCTATTTTATTTTGCTATGTTGAATAAAATAAATTTAAAGTTTAGAAAAGAAAATTTCTTATATATAGAGTTTGTTTGAATTTGTTTGAATTTGCGAGAAAGGCAAGAGGAAGTGTTATTAAAAAAAAATTCTATGTAACAATAATGAATAAATAAATAAAAAAAAAAAAAAATAGGAAATTATCGTCTAGGTTTAGGCGGAGCGCGTGGATTCGGTTTATTGTGCCTCATATTTTCGCATTTTGGAATATGACGTTCTGCTGCTGATTCATTAAATTTCCTGCCACAATGTGGACATTGTATATAATCACTGGTATCACTTGGTGGTGGTGGTGGTAAATCACTTAATTTCCCTCCAGCTGCCAAGTGTGCCTGCACTTGTTTTGCCGATCTAATAGTACTAATGAAATCCTCATGCGTTTTTCTCCAATTTGATTTTACTGTTGTTTTCTTTTGCTTAGTCTGAAAGAATTTTATAAAATTACTCAAAAACATCAATAACTTTGTTTTTAAATGAATATTTAATGATTATTATTTTTTTACAGAAATTAAAATTTTCAAAAATTTTAAATTCAATTACATATTAAAAATTAAAACTTGATACTATCATTATTTTATATTATAAAAATATTGTTACTGTAATTTCTTCAAAATTGTTTTCATTTCAATTCAATTCTTCATTTTTAGAATTTTAAACTAAAATTATTTAAAAAAAAAAATTTTTTTTTTATAATTTTTGAAAAAGTTCTTTGAGAATTTTTAAATCCATTTGTTTACAATTCAAATTTACCTTAAACTTTCGATTATTCTGACATTCTTCAATTAAATAAATTAGAAATTAAAACATTAAATAATTAAAAAAAAATTCCATTAAACTTTTTGAGAAAAATTAATTCTATAAATTTCCTTAAAAATCTTGTCAAGAATTTAATTATTTTTATAGATAATAAAATTATTCGCAGGAATTCAATTATTCTCAAAATATTTGAATAGAATTCTTCGAAATAATTCAATTATTTTTAAAATTAACAAAATTCTTCGCAGAAATTCAATTATTTTCAAAAATAACCAAATTTTTAGCAGGAATTCAATTATTTTCAAAAATAACAAAATTTTTATCAAGAATTCAATAATTTTTTTTTTAAAATATCAAAATTTTTAGCAGAAATTCAATTATTTTCAAAAATATTAATAAAATTCTTCGCAGAAATTCAATTATTTTCAAAAATATCAAAATTTCTAGCAGGAATTCAATTATTTTCAAAAATTATAAAATTCTTTGCAGAAATTCAATTATTTTCAAAAATATCAAAATTTTTAGCAGAAATTCAATTATTTTCAAAAATTTTATAAAATTCTTCACAGAAATTCAATTATTTTCAAAATGGATAAAATTCTCCGCCAGAATTCAATTATTTTCAAAAATAATAAAATTCTTCGTAAATATTCAATTATTTTCAAATATTAATTTTTGCGTAATTTTGATTATTCTGACATTCTTCAATTATATATATATGTATATTAGAAAATAAAGACTTCAAGAATTAAAGAAAAATTCAATTAAACTTTTTTAAAAAATAAATTCTACAGAATTGTTAATTAAAAGTATGAAAAGTTCAAATTTTCTAAAAGATTTTAATTTGAAACCTTTTCAAAATTCAATTATTTCTAAAAATTTACGCTGTATTGCTTTCAATATTCAATAATAATCTGAAATTTTAACTGAAATTCATTTTTAAATCAATATTTACTAGAAAAATCCACGAGAATTCAATTATTTAAATACAAAAATAAATATTTTATTCAATAATTGAATGTTTATTAAAATTGAATTTTTATAAAGGCTTTTATCAACAAATTTTTAAATAATTGAATTCTCCTGACAAATTTTAATAAAATTTTTAAGAATTAGTTTATTTTTCGGAAATTTGATTAAAATTTGATTAAAAATAATTGAATTTCTTCAAAGAGAAAAGATAGTTTTTGAAATTTTTTTTTTATAAGAGTTTTTAAAAATAATTGAAATTTTGCCAAGAATTTTATTAAAATTTTTGAAAATATTTGAATTTCGGAGAAAAATTTCTAAAGATTATTGAAATTTTGACGAGAATTTTTGTAAATTGTTGAACACAATTAAATTTCTGCGAAGAATTATATTACTTTTGAAAATAATTGAATTCTTGAGAGGAATTTTATTAAAATGTCTTTTTAAATAATTGAATTTCTTTGATGAATTTTAATAAAATTTTTAAGAATAATTTCATTTTTCGTGAAATTTCATTAAAATTGTATTTAAAATAATGAAATGTTTGCGTAGAATTTAAAAATTTTTTAAATAATTTAATTCTTTTGAAAAATTATATTAAAGTATAGTAGATTTATTAAAAATCATTGAATTGAGAAAAGTTTTTGAAAATAATTGAAATTTTCCCATGAATTTTATTAAAATTGTTGGAAATAATTGAATTTCTAAGAAGAATTTTACTAATTTGGAAAATAATTGAATTTATGCAATAATTTGTAAATGCTTGAAAATTCAATTTCTTTTAGTGTTTTTAATTAAAATTCTTCTATAAATCCATTATTTTTAATAATCAATTAAAAATATATATTAAAAAATTTAACTAATTTCAGAAGAATTGGAATAATTAAAATTTCTCAAAAATTTACGTTCTTTAAGACGATTTCTATAGTTAAATTCATTGAAAATTGAAATTTTACAAAATTTCAAATTAAAATCTTTTGAAATTCATCTGTACTTATGAAAATTGTAAACGCAACTTTTTTCAAATTTAATTAATTTTGAAATATTTAGGAAAAATTAGATTTCCAGAATAAAATTGAAAAAATAACAATTTTCCAGGATTTCGATCAAAATTTCCTGACTTTTACAGGTTTCCGGGTTGCCACGTGGCAACCCTGCCCTATGATCATTGTTTCAAGAAAGGAAGATAAAAAATTTTTTTTTAAATATTCACTTACTTCTTGTTTTTTAACTCCAACTTTAGCGAATGGCTCTAACTCCGTTCCCTGAAGACGGAATTTCATGGCATCGAATTGCTTTCGTTTCTTTTGTCCCGATTTGGCGCAAATTTTCTCATGAAGTTCAATTCTGTCGGTGGTGAAACGACGACTACAATTCTTGCACGACACCAAATTATCGGCATAATCCGTCCTTGAATAGAAAATTAATTAAAATTTTTAACTCAACATAGAAATTAGGTTTGTACAAAACAATTCCAAATGTAAAAGACGTAACCTCAAATTTTTAATTCATGCTAATTATTTTTCACTTTCTTCCAAAAAAAAATTTTCTTTCTTCCAAATTTTACTAAAATTAAATAAAAACTATATTTACAGAACTTTCTGTTTTTGAATTAGGAAAAAAAAAATTTTTAAATTTGTAAAATTCTATTTTTGAATTCTTACTTGCTGCCCATGCTAGCAGAGCTTCTCGGTGTTGATCCTCGTGATGTGGAAGATTTATACTTGGAATTCATTTTATCTTTTGATGATCCTCCACTGGAAGCGGACAGAGAGGAAGATGGTCGAGGTACTGGATTTGGAGAACTTTCTTTCTGAGATGTTACTGATTTCTAAAAAAGAAAATTTAATTTATTACAAATTTAGGAAATGTATATTTGAATAATTTTAAAATTAACTTTTTGATAAGTAATGACAAATTAGCGGTGATAATAATAATTACTTAATTTTAAAATTATTTTTTAAAATTAACCTCATGATTCAAAATTATAGTCGTTACAAAAAGGGTAACAATTAAATAATTATATTTTTAATATTAATTAACCTATTAATTTAGTAATCAAAAATGTAGTGCAAATTTAATAATTTTAAAATAATTTAAATAATTTCTAAACTTGGAATTCATTTCATCTCCTCCACTGGATGAATTATTTTGAAAGATGTCTAAATTATTATTTTTCTTCTCTTTTATTCTTATAACAGAATTAATTTTTAAAATGAAAACAAAGTGTACCACTTTTTTTTTTTTGAAAACTATACGTTTTTTCGTTTTTAAATAAATTGTTGGTTACCTATTAATACATTGGAAATTTTGATTGTTTTTGAAAATTCGAAAAAGAATGTAAATATATTCAGAAACTGTCAATTTCAGGCCATTTTCTGTTTCTGGATTAAAACCAAGGTTAATTCAAAGTTGCTCATCATTTGTTTCTAGTATTTTGAAAAGGAATTAAAAAATTATTAACAATATAATAAATGTTTGTTCACTTTCTTAGAAATTCTATCCTAATTCAGGGTGGTCACAAGTTTTAGTTTATCAATTTCCCTGACAATTTACTGACATTAAAATTACTTTTCCTGATAAAATTCTTTTTTCAGGAAAATATATGAATGTTTACGGAAAATGAGTAAAATTTATGAATTTTAATAATTTTTTAAAAATTACAATTATAAACCATTCTGAATTCAATTATTTTCTACAATTTTCAACTAAACTTCATCTCTGAATTAATTAATTTAAATAATTTTCCAAAAGTTCTTCTTGAATTCAATTATTTTAATACAAAAACTCAATTTTTCATAATAATTGTAACTCTTTATAGTTTTCTGTTAAATTATTAAGATATATTTTCAAAAAATTACAAAGAAATTCTTTGATTTCTTAAAAATATTTTAAAATAATTTTTGAAAGATAATAGTTTTTCAATTTTGAAAAATTTTCAAACTATTAAAATTTGGTAAAATCTTTTAAAAATAATTGAATTTTTAAAAAATATAAATAAACATGATTCAATTTTTTAAGAATTTTAATTATAAACAGGACAATGATTACTCAAAAATTTTAATAAGTCTAAAAATAAATTTTTATAAATTTTTATTTACATTGTTCGAAGAAAATTGAATCTTCAAAAATTATTAGAAAACAATTCTAATAATTAGTTTTTAAAAATATTTTAATGTAACCTTTTGAAAAATAATTGAATTTCTTTAAAGAATTTTTGTATAATTTAGAAAAACTTATCAATTTTTTGATGAATTTTAAGTAAAAATTTTGAACATGATTGTTTTCTCCAAAATGTTAAAAAGAATTCTAAAATGTTATTATTTTTGTAAGTATTTGAATTTTTGGGAATAGGTAATTAAAAATTCTGAAAGTATTGAATTTAAAAAAATTAGAAGATAATTTTCATTTTTAAATTTACCTTTAAAGATTTTTCATTAAAATTTTTGATATTTTAATTATTTTCAAAATTTGCAATTAAAATTTTTGATAAAATTGATTTTCAAAAATTTGTAAATAAATACTTGAAATAAATTAATTATTTTTAATTAAGTTTTAGAAAATTTTAATTATTCAAAAAGATTTTTATCGTAGATGGATTTGAAACATTTAATTATGTTAAAAAATGATTGAAAAATAATTTTTAAAATATTTGTTTATTATAGTTATTTTTCGCATTATAAAAATCTCAATTTTCTTAATTTTCCTGATAAAAAATTTTGTTTCTCTGACTTTACTGACATGTGGCCACCCTGCGGTATTTCATAAAAATTCAAACAGCAATCAGTTTCTAATTAAATGTTATTTTAGTAGCCAATAACAAATTACTGTAAATTATAAAATTAAGAGATTAAACCGTTATTTATAATGAAAATTTTTTAATACCTCATTTCGCAGAATCGGTTTTTTTGCCACTTTTTTCGTTTCCGAATCATTGAAGTCGACGATAAAGTTTTCGCACATTTTCTTAACATTTGTCGATCCTGTTTCCTGTTTCGGTTCCATTTGCGAATTTTCCAAATTCGGCGAATCGATTTCGTCTTTTGATGAATCGAGTTTTTGTTCCTTTTTTGGCGAATGGATAACTGGACGTCTGGTAGTTTTAAGATCCACTGAAGCTTGCTAAAAAATTTTTTTTTAATTAATAAATCTCACACAGGTTTAGCAGATTTTTTTCAGGCGATTCTAATAATTACCGGAAAACTTTTCAGTTTATGGTTAGTTTAAATTAAATAATAATTATAAAGGTGAAGAAAAGTTTCTGGATTCGGGACATGCGCAATAGAGGACTGTGGTGGTTACGCATGCGCATTAGATAAATAAGGCAATAAAACATGCGCAGTAGTAAACTGTGGGAGTTACGCATGCGCAGTAGATAAATAAGGGAATATAACATGCGCAGAAGTCAACTGTGGTAGTTATGCATGCGCAGTAGGTAAATAAGAGAAAAAAACATGCGCAATAGTAAACTACAACAGTTTTTCATGCGCAGTAGGAATATATAGTAAAAATACATAAAATATAACAAGGAATTATAATAAAAAAAAAAATAATTCACTCACCCTTAATCCATTGTCCGGACTTTTCAAAGGTGATCCACCATTATTTCTCCTCGCTGTCGTTTTCGAATTTTCCACTTGTTTCCTCTCGTCAAAATCTGGACTCAAACTCCTCGCATTTCTAGACACAATTAAATTTTCACATTTTCCATTTTTATCAACAAAAGACATAATTCGACTCTCCTTTGACTGTTTCATGGAACTCTGACTTTTTGTCTCTTGTCTTATCATTGAAACACAATTTTTTATCTCCTCATTATTTTTATCATTAGACATAAATTCTTGAATCAATTTTTCCTCTTTCACTTCTGCCCTGCTTTGTGTAATTAATTCTTCTTGTGATACTTTCGAGGATATTAAACAATTTTTTTCATTTTCTGTCGATGTTTCTAATTTTCCATTATTCTCGTGATATTTTTTTGTTAATGACTGTTTTTCTTGAGAGGATAATTTCCAAATTTTTCTCATCTCAACTTCGGAGTCTTGAAATAATTTTCGTTTACATGACGGCGATCGGTTGCGAATGAAATTTCTTGCTAATTCTATTGAATCCCTCGCTGCTGATATTCGACTGTAGTCGAAATTTTTTCCATCCTCTGAATCACGACGACGTGATTTGCGATTTTTTTGGGATGTGATACAATTTTTCGTATCTTGTATATGTTGCAAAGGTGTTTTTGAAATTGTAATCGATGATTTTGAAATTGGTGGTGAATTTTTTTCTTTGATGATAATTTTTTTAATTTGGGAATTCGTGAATATTTTCTCCTTAGTTTTCGAATTTTTCTTTTTGACAATTTTTCTCGAATTTTTACTTTCTGGAGAGTTTGGAATTTTATTCGCCATCGATTCTTTACTTGTTAATTCCTGATCGGTTTCGATTGAATCAAATTGTTTTAGGGCCGATTCGACTGAATCGGTTCTTTCCAGTTGGATATTTTCGTTTTCAGAATTGATTTTTGGAATTTCGTCAATTGACGATTTTTTTTGTTCTTTTTGACATTTTTCTATTTTCTTGATTTCTTTGAATCGTTTCTCGTGTTCCGCCCCTTTTTTCTCGCCGGTTTTTGGGAAACTTTTCAATCTTTCGATATTTTGTGTTTTGACAATTTTTTTATTTCTCGATTCTTCATTCGTAAATGAAGAATTTTGAATTTTTTTTGTGAATTTTGACGAATTTGCAATTGTCGATCTTTGGATGTTTGCAAGTTTCTCGACAGTGTCCCAATTTTTTCGTCTGCCCGCAGTTCGTGGGGAATTTTTTTTCAGCTCGATTTTTGAATTTTCACGTTCGATTTGTAAAAGTTGGTTTTCAATTTCCCGCATTTTGGACTCGACATCTGATTTTCGGGTTTCAAATTCGCGTTGCTTTTCCTCAACTTCACGTTCCTTTGCTTCGATTTCCAACATTTTGTTCTCAATTTCTTTTCTTTTCTTCTCCACTTGCAGCATTTTTGCCTCGATTTTCGAATTTTCATTTTCAATTTTCATTTCTTCATCGTTTTCAATATTAGCAGAATTTTCCAAAATTGCTTCGTGCTTTTTGACAATTTTATGTCCCGGATTTTCCCCCTGAAATTCGTTGATTTCGTCCTCGAGTTTATTAAGTTTCATCGTTTCATTTTTCGAAGTAATTTGTTTCACCAATTCCGTGGACTTTAGTTTTTTCAATTCCAAAAATTTGTCCTCAATTTTCAAATTAATTTTCGATTCGGAAATTTGAAAATCAGGATTCAAAATTTCTAAATTTTTCGTCGCATCAAAATTTTCATCAGTATTTGAATTTTTCGTTTCTACCTTATTTTCACTAATGTCGAAAATTTCCGATTTATTTTCGTTTGGAAAATTTTCGACATTTTCCAATTTCACTTTTCGCTGATTTTGGGGATTTTTTTCGATGCTGAATTTTCGATTTTCGAGACTCGGTCTTCGTTTGGCGGCCGAGCTGATTGTTTCGGAATTTTCAACGGATCGTCGACGATTTTTCATTTTTATAATTTCGGGACTTGGGGAATTTAATTCAAATTTTGGACTTGGAGTATTTTTTCGTTGTGGATCAATTGTTTGGTCGGCGATTAAAATTTCCTGATACTCGCTGGGAAGTTCGAAAATTTTTTCTGGCGATGAACAACGAGTGAAATTTTCCGCCTTCGTCGTTTCTTCTGTTTGTACAAATCGTGATTCGTCGCGACTCTTTTTTTTCGTGGGTTTCTTCACTGGGAGAGTGAATTTATTGCGAATTGCGTCACGAAGATCGAGGGCAAGTTTCTCGCGAATTGAATCCTTAATTTTTCGTCGTCCCCGATTACGAAAACAATAATTTTCGTCGAGGAAAATGTTATCCTCATTTTTTTCCACATCCTTATCGTTTCTTTCAATTTTTGTTGTTGATACCTTTCGTTTTTGAGTGTCGAATTTTTTTGTTTCTTCAAATTTTGGTTTTTGATTTGAGGAAATTTTTCGTTTTTGAAAATTTGGATTCTCTGCTTTTGGGGATTTTGAATTTTCTTCAAATTTCGGATTTTCTTTTGTGGATATTTTTCGTTTTTGAAAATTTGAATTCTCTGCTTTTTGCAATTTTGAATTTTCTTCGAATTTCCCAGTTTCCTTCGTGGATATTTTTCTTTTTTGAAAATTGTGATTCTCCTCTTCTAGGAATTTTGAATTTTCTTCAAATTTCGGATTTTCTTTTATGGATATTTTTCGTTTTTGAAAATTTTGATTCTCCGCTTCCAGGAATTTTGAATTTTCTTCAAATTTCGGACTTTCCTTCGTGGATAATTTTCTTTTCTGAATATTGATATTCCGCCCTTCTTGAACTTTCGAATTTTCCACAAATTTTTGATTTTCATAAATTTCGAGTTCAACCCTTTTTCCATTCTCTTCAAATTTTGAATCTTCGTCGAAAGAATTTTCTATTTCTCCAAACTCCAATTTTTCAAATTTCGTATTTTCGTCAAATTTTTCATTATTCCCAAATTTCGAATTTTTTTCAAAATTTTCATTTTCTTCTAAATTAAAATTTTTCCCAAGTGATGCCTTTCTTTCTTGACTTTCAAGTTTTTTCGAATTTTCTTTAACTTTCGGTTTTTCTTTCGTTGAAATTTTTCGTTTTTGAGAAATAAATTTTCCAGTTTCTTCGAATTTTGAATTTTCTCGTAATTTCAAATTTTCATTATTCTTTGAATTTACTTTGATTTCTTTTTGAGTTACAAATATTTTTTCACTTTCCTCGCAGTTTGGGGATTTTTCCGAAAATTCAATTTCCGGAAATTCAATTTTTAAGGGAACGTCTTCATCTTGAATTTTTTTTTCTTCTTCACTTTTCACAAATATTTTTTTTTCATCCTCTAAATATAAACTTTTATTTTCCACTTTTTCGTTTTCATTTGCAATTTTTTCCTCTCTATTTTTATTTTCGTCAATTTTAGTCAGATTTTCGAAATTATTTTCAATTTCTTCAATTTTCACCTCTCGATCATCATCGTCATTGTTGTGTACAATCGGGAAATTTTGTTTTCGACTATTTTCCTGAATTACTTCGCGAATTAAATAAGTTGATTTTAGTTCACCGCAATTTTCGTTTTGATTGGAAAAAAATGATTCGCGAAATATTTGACAAAATTCATCATTCTTTGAATTCCAAATTTCCTGATTAATTTCCGTTTCTGGTGGGATTTTTTGTTTCGAATTTGATTTTTTTCTTGCCTTGTATTGCGTTAATTGCCGATCACGTTTTCTCCCGTTCGTCGTCGATATTTCTCTGAGAAATTAATTCAAAATATTTTAGTTTTTTTCCGGGGTCTGGAGAAAAAAATTATTTTTGATTTTTAGAATTAAAAAAAATATTTTTTTTTCATAATTTTCTCTTTTATTGAATTTTTTTTCAAAATTGAGTTTAAATTATTCTGCATATTTTTATGTAGATTATATTTTTTATTATTTATATTTTTTTATACCGTTTATAATTTGTTTTAGTTTCCCAATATTGTTACTTTGTTTTTGTAATTCTGTTTGTAGATTTTTGAATGACGTTTCGTAATCTTTTGCTTTGCTTCGTTAGAATTATTTTTGCTTCCCATTAAAGCACCGCATGGATTAGATTTTTTTTTATATGATTCCTTTGAGATTAGGCCGTCAGCGAGCGTTTTAACACCAAAAAACCAGAGTTCCATGTTTTTAGCCTTCGGATTGAATAAGATCGAGTTCTGTCTCGACTATAGGGGATGAAAAGGTTTTTTTTAACTTGTGTTGCTGAGAGATTATATTTTATTAGGAAAATTAGAATTATTGGTTTATTTTTTGTGGAATATGAAATTTCATGTTGTTCAATGAATTTAAATTCCCAAAATTAACCAATTTTTTTTTGTTCACAATATTTTTGAAAATTAATCGGCAATTAGTTACAGTTGGTTAATTTCTACAATTTTGAATTTTTTTACCAATTGGTATTTAAATAAAAATGATTAGAGACAAAATGTTAGTTTCTTTTTTCAAGAAAGAAAAAAAATATTCTCACCTGCCAGTCGTTTGTGTCGTCGAATTGAGATCGGAACGTTTTTTCGTTATCGATTTGGAAGCAATATTTTTCTTCGATGATGAATTTTTGAAACGCTCCAGCCTGAGTTCAGCTTGAGATAATTTTTTATTAAGTGGCTTTTTCCCCACTTTATCGGACATCTCCATCATTAAGTCTTCTGGAAATTGTTCACTCTCAAGATCGTTGACAACACGATGATGAAAATTTTTATCAAAATCTATCATGTGAATTTTTCCCATTGCTCGATTCCTTTCCTCTTCGTCGAATAACTTAAAAGTAGGAAAAAAATACTTAAATGAAACAAAAAAAAAAAAAAATTACAAGTACAATTTTACAAATAGTTAAAATTGTTGAAATTGAAATTAAAATGGTTTACAAAGTTGCCAAAAAAACATATATTTTATTAGAAAATAAAAACTTCAAATAATTGCAAAAAAGAAATTCAATTAAACTTTTTCAAAAAAATTAATTTTACAGGATTGTTAGTTAAAAGTACGAAAAATTCAGATCTTCAAAGATTTGGATTTGAAACCTTTTCAAAATTCAATTATTCTTGTGATAAATTTTGATAATTAAATATTCCTTTGCAGAATCCCTTAAAAATTTTTAGAAAATAATTGATTTTTTTTCAACGAATTACAAGTTATTTATATGAAAATATTTGAATTATTTCATCGAATTTTATTTTTTTTATTGAATAATTGAATGTTTCTTAAAATTGAAATCTTTCGTCAAGTTTTAATACAATTTTTAATAATAATTGCATTTTTCAAGGAATTTGTTTTAAATTGTATTAATAAATTCCTTGAAAAATGCAATTATTATTAAAAATTTTATTAAAACTTGACGAAAGAATTCAATTTTAAGAAACATTCAATTATTCAATAAAAAATAATAAAATTCTTTCGATAAATTTTATGAAAATTATTGAATTGTAAAAAACTTTTAAAAATAATTGAATTTTGCACAGAATTTTATTTAAATTTTTGAAAATAATTTAATTTCTGGCGAAAAATGTTGCTATTTGTAAAGATAATTGAATTCTTGACGAGATATTCGTTAAAGTTTTTTAAATAATTGAATTTATTCGTTAAATTTTATTACTTTTCAAAAGAATTGAATTTATTCTTGTGATGAATTTTGATGTTTATCAAAAAGAATTGAATTTTGGAACAGAATTTGATTAAAATTCCTTAAAATAATTGAATGTTTTTGTATAATTGTATAAACAATTTTTTTCAATAATTAAATCTTCCGTTAAATTTTATGAAAAATAGTAAAATATGCGATGAATATTGTTATTTATGAAAATAATTGAATTTTGCAAAGAAATTTATTTAAATTTTTGAAAATAATTGAATTTTTGGCGAAAAAATTTTGCTATTTGTAAAGATAATTGAATTCTTGACAAGATATTCGTTAAAATTTATTAAATAATTGAATTTTGCAAAGAATTTTGTTAAAATTCCTAAAAATAATTGAATTTCTATGAACAATTTTGTTACTTTTGAAAATAATTTAATTCTTGTAATGAATATTGTTATTTATGAAAATAATTGAATTTTGCAAAGAATTTTATTAAAATTTTTGAAAATAATTGAATTTCTTTGAAGAATTGGATAACTTTTTGAAAATAATAGAATTTTTGTGCTATGAATATTGTTATTTATGAAAAAAATTGAATTTTGCACAGAATTTTATTTAAATTTTTGAAAATAATTTAATTTCTGGCGAAAAAATTTGCTATTTGTAAAGATAATTGAATTCTTGACGAGATATTCGTTAAAATTTTTTAAAATAATTGAATTTTGCAAAGAATTTTATTTAAATTTTTGAAAATAATTTAATTTTTGTTAAAAACATTTGCTATTTGTAAAGATAATTGAATTCTTGACGAGATATTCGTTAAAATTTTTTAAAATAATTGAATTTCTTCGAAGAATTTTATTACTTTTGGAAATAATTGAATTCTTGTCATGAATATTGTTATTTATGAAAGTAATTGAATTTTGCAAAGAATTTTATTAAAATTTTTAAAAATAATTGAATTTCTTTGAAGAATTGAATAACTTTTTGAAAATAATAGAATTTTCGTGCTATGAATATTGTTATTTATGAAAATAATTGAATTTTGCACAGAATTTTATTTAAATTTTTGAAAATAATTTAATTTCTGGCAAAAAAATTTGCTATTTGTAAAGATAATTGAATTCTTGACGAGATATTCGTTAAAATTTTTGAAAATAATTGAATTTTGCAAAGAATTTTATTTAAATTTTTGAAAATAATTTAATTTTTGTTAAAAACATTTGCTATTTGTAAAGATAATTGAATTCTTGACGAGATATTCGTTAAAATTTTTTAAAATAATTGAATTTCTTCGAAGAATTTTATTACTTTTGGAAATAATTGAATTCTTGTCATGAATATTGTTATTTATGAAAGTAATTGAATTTTGCAAAGAATTTTATTTAAATTTTTTAAAATAATTTAATTTTTGTTAAAAATATTTGCTATTTGTAAAGATAATTGAATTCTTGACAAGATATTCGTTAAAATTTTTTTAAAAATTGAATTTTGCAAAGAATTTTATTTAATTTTTTGAAAATAATTGAATTCTTGTCATGAATATTGTTATTTATGAAAATAATTGAATTTTGCAAAGAATTTTATATAAATTTTTAAAAATAATTTAATTTTTTAAAAAATATTTGCTATTTGTAAAGATAATTGAATTCTTGACAAGATATTCGTTAAAATTTTTTAAATAATTGAATTTTGCAAAGAATTTTATTAAAATTCCTAAAAATAATTGAATTTCTTCGAAGAATTTTATTACTTTTGAAAATAATTGAATTCTTGCCATGAATATTGTTATTTATGAAAATAATTGAATTTCGCAAGGAATTTTATTTAAGTTTTTGAAAATAATTGAATTTTTGGCGAATAATTATGTTTTTTTAAAGATAATTTAATTCTTTATAAGATATTCGTTTAAATTTTTAAACTAATTGAATTTCTTCCATGAATTTTATTACTTTTGAAAATAATTGAATTCTTGTCACGAATATTGTTATTTATGAAAATAATTGAATTTTTCAAAAAATTTTTTTAAAATTCCTAAAAATAATTGAATTTCAATGAAGAATTTTGTTATTTATTAAAATAATTACGTTAAAAAGTTAAAATTCAAAATTTTCTTATAAATTTTAAACATTTAATTTTGTCCAGTACTTTTAATAAAAATCCCTGACTTTTCCCTGATTTCCCTGACCTGTGGCAAACTCTGAATTAGAATTATTATATTTTTTTTTTTTTTTTGGGTACAAACTTCATTTCGATTTTGTCCATTTCCATTGATAAAACGTGAGACATCGTTCTCATTGATAAATTCATCGTCGTGAATATTGTCGCCAAAATTTTCGTGACTGAATTCTTCGTGATACGAGACGACTGGTTTTCCATCATTGATATTGCTGTTGACATCTGCGCGGGCTGTTCTTTTAACAGTGGTGACTGTATGTTTCGAGAAATTTCGATTTTTGCCGGGTGTTAAACCATTTGTCGTTTGTTTCTTTGATTTGTTGTCCAGGGGTTCTAGGGGGTAACTCCTGTCAATTCCCTTCACCGTTGTCTGTCGACGTTCGTCAAACATTTGCCTCACCTGTATTTAAAAAACAGTGGTTTTTATATTTTCAAGAATTAAAAAAAATTTTTTTTAATTTTTAAAAAATTAAAAAATTTTTTTTTAATTTTTAAAAAATTAAAATTTTTTTTTTTAATTTTTAAAAAATAAAAAATTTTTTATTTTAATTTTTAAACGATTAAAAATTTTTTTTTAAATTGTTTTTTAATTTTTAGACTTCTTTAAGGCAATTAAACTAATTGCTTTTTAAATAGGGAAAAATTTGCCAAGGGAGATGGGAATAAGTGGTGAAATAAAATAATAAATCTTTTTTAGGGGGGGCTATTATAAAGTTTAGAATAAATGGTACCTTGCCACCTTGAGATGTGGAGGATTTACGTGTTGTGGCGGTAGTTTTGGTGACAGTTTGATGATTCATGTTGGAGCCCTGATTCGAAGTATTAGAACCGGCGCTTCCTCTCTGTGCAACTTGATGAGCTCTTTGTTGTTGTTGATCATAAAGCTGCAGCAATTTCTGCTCCTTCTCTTGCAGTTGCTTTTGTTGAAAGCGAGCCTGAAATAAATTTCAATAATTATTCACACAAATTCACAACCCAAACTATTAGGAAACAATCCGTTATATTTATCAAAAAAAAAAACCAAATTAAGATCAACTCCCTTTCAAGTGGTTATGTATGTTGAAAATATTTCTCAATTCATTGACATTTTTTTCTTCTTCTAGGATCAAAATATATCTAGAATCACTATTTTTGTAAAATTTAGGTTTAAATTTAAATTTTTAAATACCTTATTGGTATTTAAATAATTACCTTGGTGATTTTATTGTATCTAACCGGAATTCTTTTGGACATTTTATGAAAAGGATTATTGGGAGGCATTGTTTGTGTGTGGTCTCAAGGAGAGTAGGTGCACGTATGTCAGTAGGTACCTGCACTGAAGAGAACCAGGAACCTCTCATCGATTCCTTTAACCTACATCGTGTACACAGAGGTTACTAAACCCATTTGTCCTGGATGAGATAAAAGAACAATTATCGTTCATTTAGAGATTGGCACTACTATAATTTTATTTATCAATAATTAACAAATGCGGGTTTAGACAATTCTCTATTTTTTTTTATCACAATCGATATTTATCTTTTTTGAAACGAAGGCAGGCAATTGCGTTTGAATTATTCAACAAGGGGGTGAGATAATTATTTCGAGATTTTTAATTCATAGGGTCAAGTTTTACTGTTAAAATTATCTCCTTTCAGTGTCATTTGTTTTGTAGGTTTATCATTATCTTTAATAACAAATCGTAATTTTAAAGCCACTGCTTTCATTCCCTTTTGGAATTATAATTAAAATTTGAAAGAACAAATCTTTTAGAGGGGTGGCTAAAAATAATAACGTCCGGAATGAAAGTAACAAAAAATGTATTTTTTAATTTTAAGGGGTTACATTCACTTAGGATTTTGAAAAAATCGATTATTCATTTCTAGAATTTTCAACTAAAATCCTTTTTTAAGTCAATTTTTTAAAAATAATTATTTGAAAAAGTTGTTTGAGAATTTTCAAATTGTTTTGTTTATAATTTACTTTTACGAAATTTCTATTACTCTGACATTCTTCAATTAAATATATTAGAAATTAAAAACTTCAAACAGGTAATTAAAAAAAAATTCTATTAAACTTTTTTGAAAAAAATTAATTCTATACAGAATTCTTAATTAAAAGTATGAAAAGTTTAAATTTTCAAAGATTTTAATTTGAAACCTATTGAAAATTCAATTATATCTAAAAATCAGCGCTATGATGCTTTCAATATTCAAAATTTAAAATTTTAATTGGAACTAATTTTTAAATCAATTTTTATTAGATAATTCTACGCGAATTCAATTGTTAAATAGAAAAATAAATAATTTGTTGAAAAATTAAATGTTTGTTAAAATTGAATTTTCATAAAGAATTTTATCAACAAATTTTTAAATAATTGAATTCTTTCGGCGAATTTTAATAAAATTATTACAATTAATTACATTTTTCGAGAAATTTGATTAAAATTGTATTAAAAATAATTGAAATTCTACCAAGAATTTTATTAAAATTTTTGAAAATAATTGTATTTCGGAGAAAAATTTTATTATTTATAAAAATAATTGAAATTTTGACGAGAGTTTTTGTAAATTTTTTAACATAATTGAATTTCTAAGAATTATAGCTATTTTGAAAATAATTGAATTCTTGAGACGAATTTTATTAAAATTTTCGAAAATAATTGAATTTCGGAGAAAAATTTTATTATTTATAAAAATAATTGAAATTTTGACGAGAGTTTTTGTAAATTTTTTAACATAATTGAATTTCTAAGAATTATAGCTATTTTGAAAATAATTGAATTCTTGAGATGAATTTTATTAAAATTTTCGAAAATAATTGAATTTCGGAGAAAAATTTTATTATTTATAAAAATAATTGAAATTTTGACGAGAGTTTTTGTAAATTTTTTAACATAATTGAATTTCTAAGAATTATATCTATTTTGAAAATAATTTTAATTTTTGAGACGAATTTTATTAAAATTTCTTTTTAAATAATTGAATTCTCTTGACAAATTTTAATAAAATTTTTAAGAATAATTTCATTTTTCGAGAAATTTAATAAAAAATGGTTTCAAAAATAATTGAAATTCTACCAAGAATTTTATTAAAATTTTTGAAAATAATTGAATTACGGAGAAAAATTTTATTATTTATAAAAATAATTGAAATTTTGACGAGAATTTTTGTAAATTTTTTAACATAATTGAATTTCTAAGAATTATAACTGTTTTGAAAATAATTGAATTCTTGAGACGAATTTTATTAAAATTTTCGAAAATAATTGAATTTCGGAGAGAAATTTTCTTATTTATAAAAATAATTGAAATTTTGACGAGAATTTTTGTACATTTTTTAACATAATTGAATTTCTAAGAGTTATATCTGTTTTTAAAATAATTGAATTCTTGAGACGAATTTTATTAAAATTTCTTTTTAAATAATTGAATTCTTTTGACAAATTTTAATAAAATTTTGTAGAATAATTTCATTTTTCGAGAAATTTAATAAAAAATTGTTTAAAAAATAATTGAAATTCTACCAAGAATTTTATTAAAATTTTCGAAAATAATTGAATTTCAGAGAAAAATTTTATTATTTATAAAAATAATTAAAATTTTGACGAGGAAATAATTGAATTTCAGAGAAAAATTTTATTATATTTATAAAAATAATTGAAATTTTGACGAGAGTTTTTGTAAATTTTTTAACATAATTGAATTTCTAAGAATTATATCTATTTTGAAAATAATTGAATTCTTGAGACGAATTTTATTAAAATTTCTTTTTAAATTAATTCAATTCGTTTGTGAATTTTTATTCAAATAGTAGACATTAAAAGTAATTAAATTTTGACAAATTTTTGAAATTAATTAATTTTCTACGAAGAATTTTATTAAAATTTTTGAAAATAATTTAATTGTTTAAAAGAAATTTAATTAAAAATGTACATATTGAAAATATAGGCAAAGGTTTTTGAAATAATTGAATTTCTTTGATATAAATTTAAAAAAAAATTTTAAGAATAATTACATTTTTCCAGGAATTCCATTAAAATTGTATTGAAAATAATTTGAAAATCTGCGATGAGTTTTATTATTTATGAAAATAGTTTGTAAATAATTGAATTCCTGGGAAATTTTTATTATTTATGAAAATAATGAAATGTTTACGTAGAATTTAATTAAAATTTTTAAATTAATTTAATTTAATTAATTAATTATATAAATAATTAATTAATTTATTTTTTGTTATTTAAAAAAAATTTTTTTTTTAATTTAGCAGATTGTAATTCGAATTAAGAAAAAAACATAAGCTCAGAAATTCACCTGAAAAGCCGGAGTAACAAAAAGTAATTGTCAATTTTACAATTCTTTTTATCACTCACTTATTTTTGCACAGTGCAAAGAACAATGGTTCTCTGTTAAAAAACGAAGATATTCAAGCACCAAACTAATGGATATGTATGAACAAGGTTCTTCTTTGTTTCTTCATTTTTTTTCCCATAATTGCGGAAACATTCCATTCGACGCTAAATTGTTGTACAAATACACAAAGTTAGGTTCGGTGTTTACTATTTCAATTAGTGCGTCGACTGGAATTTTTCTTGTTCTACTATATGTCCTGTTGCTTTACAGGACATTGTTAGCTTTGCCACTGTGGTCAACAATACTGTCTTCCTCGAAACATCTAAAAGGTATTGTTTCATCTTCTTGGAAATTTACATCTTCGTGATGTTGATGCTCTTGCTGCTACTAATGATGATGATAATAATAATAATAACAATGATGATGATAATAATAATAATGATGAAATGGAAAATTAAATAACTAAACTAAAAATTTGAATAATATTACCAAAAGTAGGACAAAAATTTTTATTTTCTCTAATAATAATTGCAAAATTGATAATTTTATCCGAGTTCTTATTTTTATTACGAAAAGTAATAAAGTACGATAAACAATATATATTTTCAGGATGCAATTAGAATATAGCGTGTGTTGATAAAATAGCCTCATGAATAAAGAGTGTGGTGGGGTCATTAACACATTTCTGCAATAAATGTGAATTATTATATAGTGATTTGTAAACACATTTTTCATTTAAATTATAATAAATAAATTATACTTTTGTTTTTAAATTTATTAAATTTATGAAATTTATGAAATTTATTAAATTTTAAAAGCAATTTTTCAGGTCAATTTATAAAGTGAGTTCTCTCTATAAACTTCAAAATGGTGGACTTTCAATAAAGTTGTTAAATTTTCATGTTACAACTTTGAGGTTTCGTGTTCGTCAATAAATTGAGATTAAGTTAATAAAAAATTAAAAGTACTAGTGGATTTTTAATTATTAATTTATTCATTAATCAATTTATTCATTAATCAATTTAACAATTATTTTATTAATCAATTTATTAATACATTCTGTCATTAATTAATTTTTCATTGATTACTAATTGTGGGTTTTTGGAAATTCTGATTACGAATTCGATGTCAGTTTTTAAAAATTCAAAATGTCGGATTGAGTATGGCTAAAGGAATTTTTAAAAATCGATGAATTCAGTTTTAAATAGTTTATTAAGGCTTTTTGAAAACGCTGATTACGAATTTGATGTCAGATTTTAAAAATTCAAAATGTCGGATTCAAGATGTCGAAGAAAAAAAAAATTCTTAGAAATTGTTGAAATCTACTTTTAATTTGCTTTTCACGTTTTTTTTTGGGAGTGTTGAATATGAATTTGATGTCAGATCTTTAAAATTCAAAATGGCGGATCCAATATGGCGAAAAAAAAAATTCTTATCAATTTTTCTTTTAATGAAAATAATTTTTTTTATAATAAACTGAATGAAGTATAAATAATTGAAATAATCAAAAATTGTATAAATTATGACTGACAGGAAATGCACTTACATTTAAGAAGACGAAAAAAAAAAAAATTTCTAGTGCCTAAGAAAAAGGAGATTATGTGA